GTGGGGCGCAATACGTCATCATCTTCTTCCCGTGCGATGACCCTTTATCACCATGTAACATAACCCATAACGCCCATACTTACAAGGAATTAGTGCCAAATCAACAAACAGGTACATAATGGCGAAGATACAGAGTGCCAAATCATCATAACGAGATATGTGCTGATTGTGAGCCGTTAGAGCCCGTATTCGTGATGATAGCAAGGGAACTATGGGTCAATGTCCCATGATGACAATGTTGAAAATTCGAGAAGATGCATGCAGAGGTTCGCAAATAGTGGTCATCCGTCATTAGTGTCATTACCGTCAATAGAGACTAAACGTCATCAAGCTGACAGTGACATTTTCAATAATTACAATAATTACATAACAATGATATTTATTTTTAAATATAACGGCAACAATAATTACAAGAATGATACTCGAAATTCAAGATGAAATTTGGCGAAATACCTGTGGACTGAATCGGTCATGTGTGACAATTCCAGGAACCAACTACCTACCTACCAAAATTTGTAAACAAAACATTCTGACCAAGAGGTATGCAATAACGATAACTAGTAGGCTGAAAATCACAATATAATTCCTTATTTACAGCAAAAATTGAGTTAGAATCAATAACAACGAACAGAGAAATACCAATCGATAGCCAGCAGTAAACATCACAGATGAATTCAATTATGAACCAATGAAAAAGAGAGTGAAAAGTAGGTAAACAATAATGCATAGCTCTGTTTTCTGCAGTATTTTCGTAACGTCATGAACGAAGTGTAACACTACTGTAGGAAAGACGAATCAGATGGTTTGCCCAAAAATGTCACTGAGCCTAAAATTTTCCTGTTTGAAAAATATATCTGAAAAATAAGACTAATTATGTTGAGTATCAAGCTCTGATGCTCAACTGTGCAGTATCGTGTTCCTCAGGGCTCTGTACTTGGACCCTTGCTTTTCATAATTTATTTGATAGATCAAAACACAAAAGTAAAGATATCAATATCGAAAATTATTTCTCATTTTTATGTGGAAAACAGGGCCGATTCGTTCCCGAAACGACAAAAGGTGAGGGAAATTTCACGTTTCTACAATATGCACCTGTAACATTTTTCAAACGAAGTGTCACTGAACTATCGATTGAATTTTCCTCTCAAGGTGGATTCATGCACAACCTAATTTAGCCTGAATTTTATGTAACCCCGAGCTGAAGAAATGAATCTTTCGTTGAAGGATTCAAAAGTTGGCTAACTTTTTCCTTAAATCTTGAAGCAAATGAGCTGTTGTTCAGGGTTATTCAAGTCAAAAAGGTATTACCAACCAACAAAATGTGGAAATAAAATTTAAGTTTAGCAAAAAATGCTCGAGAAGACCGAAAACAGCAGAAGAAGGAATTTTATCAAATTCAAATTCTCCTTTTTCTCCTTATTAAAGGATGCACTGCGAATCCTCTATGGATTATTGTTACAGCTGATGATATGGCTAATAAAGAAGCTCTATCAAAGCAGAAATGCTCTTAGATACCAATTTTTTTTCGAAAATAAACAACAGATGAACAGTTGGTTTCAATAGGCGGCTGAGTTTGAGATCGCAGCGCCAAAGTGGCAGGTTGTGAACTATATGAAAGTACAGTGTGTCCAGTTTTCGATGCTTTTGCCTGATATCTCAGTTATCTTTAGAGATAGAACCTTGCGGTTTTCGCGGTCCTGTACCACTTTTTTGTGAAACTCAAGATGGCCTAATCAGATTTTGCAAGACTGTTTCCGTTTATGAGATACAGGGCGATTTTGAAAATTTATACTTTTTGGACCCCCTCTATATCTACGAAGTTTCTCAACAAAAATGTCAAATCAAAATCTTATCGCATAGAGAATTTCACGCATAATCCAGTGGCGCACTTAAATTTTTTTTCGGGGTATGGTTTTGGAGATACGACAGTATTTATACGACTCAAACTTATGATTTTTCAAATGGAACACCCTGTATTTCATAAGCTCATTAAATTCCTTATTTTTTTGTCTGCAAAATGATATATAACGAATGAATATGAAATTTTCAAAATTGCTCAAAATCACTAAAATATTGAATTTTGATAGTTGGGTATGGATTTTTCTTATGAAACACGTTCCAATTGAAGAAATATTTCTTTAAATTTTTCCATGGAGAGGTCAAAACCAATATCAACCCTTATTAATTAACAAAACACCAAACTTGGGTACCTGATAGCAACAAATAAATAGCAATAAAAAGTTCATAATGTAGAATATGCACCTCATTGAATATTTACTAAAATAATTGTATTGCGGAATTATCCAGTAACTTCTTATTGACATATTCAAATTGATATCCATTTTCCCCAACATACAGTTGACAAATTTTCTCAATCTTAATACAGTGAGTGGCCCAACATACTTGAAGAACTTTGTGCAACAACAGAGGCAGTTTTCCAGGAATTACAAAGACATCTTTCAATGATTAATATGTATTGAGAAAGTTTGTGATGAAAAATGGACATCAATTTGAACAATTCAATTAATAAATCACTGAATAATTCCGAAATTCAATTGTTTTAGCAAATATTCAATCAGGTGCTTATTCTACATTATAAACTTTTCATTACTATAAATTTGTGGATATCAGGTATCTAAGTCTTGTGTATTATAAGATAATTAGTGTTGAAATTGTTATTTCCCCCTTCATGGAACAATCAAATGAACTATTCCTTCAATTGTAAATTTCTTATATTAAAATCCCTCGAAAAACCCATAGCCCACTATTAAAATTCAATGTCTTAGTGATTTTTCAACATTTTCGAAGGTGTTATATTCATACATCATATATCATTTCGAAGAGAAAAAAATAAGGAATTTAATGAGCCTATAAAATACAGGGTGTTCAATTTAAAAAATCATAACTTTGAGTCGTATTTTCAAAACCACACCCCGAAAAAAAAATTTTTGTGCGCCACTGGATTCTGCATAAAATTCTCTATGGGTTAAGATTTTGATTTGACATTTTCGCTGATTAACTTCGTAGATATAGAGGGGGTCCAAAAAGTATAAATTTTCAAAATCGCCCTGTATCTCATAAACGGAAACAGTCCTGCAAAATCTGATTAGGCCATCTTGAGTTTCACAAAAAAGTGGCACAGGACGGCGAAAACCGCAAGGTTCTATCTCCAAAGATAACTGAGATATCATGCAAAAGCATCGAAAACTGGACACACTGTACATTGTTTTGAAATGGTTCATATGCTTCGTTCAAAAAAGTGAGTTTCACTTCTTCAAATACAAATGCCCCAATTTTGCACAAATGAGGTAAACAATAGTTTGGTTTCTCGCAAATGTTTTTGACATTTGATCTTTTTTGACATGTTGTATAATGTTGTATGACTAGAGTTGATAATTGGATGGCCTCCAACTGGTGTCCTGGTGTGGAGACTAAATGTTTACATCACTAAAATATGAAAAATACAAATAAACCATACTTCTTGTTGATTTTAGGGAATAATAGTTATTTATGTATTAAGGGAATTATGAGGGCCTTAATTACCGATGGCAAAGTTTGCGTCCCGAGGGCCTCTGGCCCGAGGGACAGCAATTGCCAGAGGTTATTAAGGCTCTATAATTCCCGTGATACATAGATAATTTTATTTCTGACTGATTTCATTCATTAGATACCTTCCCGATTGGAAGTTAGACATGTTGTTCCGTATAGTATCAATGTCATCAGAACGTCAGATGATGATCTTGACTACCGCGAATAGGAGATTCCTTATTGCTACGTTATTGCGTGGTTGTTGCTATGCATTTCTTGTTTAATTTTAGCTAGAGGGAATTATAGCATCTATAACATCCCAAGGGAGTTATGACCCTCATTATAGATATCGTAACTATGACGATATAAGCTTATAATGTCACTGTCAGAAATAAAATCTGTTATTGAGTACAACGTGGGCATATGAATTGTCCAGTGATAGAGAGAAAAGGACCAGTAGTTGTGAAGATGCATGGCAAAATAAGATGAAATTTCGAACTTTTTCGTATAATATCGCGATTAATAGCGGTTTGTTCACATTTTAATTGTGAAATTCGTGTTTTTCAGAGGAAAATACGTGAGTACCACCAAAAAAAAATTTAAAAAAACATCGCATGATACGTGCACTTTTACCTTGAAATTTCAGAAACTTCTCAGTGAGATAAAAACCTCAATATCGGAAACTCCCTAATTACTTACTTGACCTCCAGAAATAAGAACACATACATCATTACCTCAATTCAAAAACTAGGAATATTTTTGGTGGGCACACTATCACTTATAAAATCGATCACTAGATTATTCCTTACACTGTTTCACTGGCTTTCAACAAAATTTCATATTAATATTACATCAATTATCTCTTGAATACCAAACACGTTCACTTCGTTGCATTCACAGGCTGTATATTGTGTATGCACAGAATAGAGATAATTAGCGTAAGCGTATATCTATTCTGTGATGGAAGTAAAATATGGTGTAATTACTGATGCGCTTTTGTTTCAGAAATTTTACTTGACCTCTCGAGAGCAATGGTTCTGTTGATCTTCTAATAGATGGCGACATTGCACAATTATGACTTTTGTCAGTTTTGGAATTGTCGCAGATTTTTCGAATTCAGAGTTGTTTAATCCCACTGTTAATGGCATTTGCCATTTTATTTCCACTCGTCACAGCAGCATCACCATCTAGCGGGAAAATGTAGAATCAACGTCTCGCTCGTTGTGACGTAGAGAAATCATAGTAGGCCGGTCGAGTGATTTTTCTGAAATGTTCAATACGTAATAATGGCCGAATGCGCGCACCATATCTTACTTCCATCATTCTGTGGTGTATGTGCATAATGGCCGGCGAGAGACTTTCGGACAGTGTTGCCAGTGTGGTTCAGCTCGATTTTGTTAATACAAATGAATAATAATTTATGTATAAAGAAACACGTTACATAATTTTATAACATTGTATTAAGTTATGCCCTAAGTTACACTCTGCTTTCTTTTTAAATTTTTATCTGATAAGGCACTTTTCTCTCTTTCTAATCTCATGTTTCGCTTCATGGCTTTATTTTCAATGTCTTCATAGTGTTCAGCAAACATCAGCTTCAGAGCTGGTCGTAAATGTGGGACTAGAACTAGATCATTCATATTAACCTGCAAAAAACAAAAGTCTAAAAGTTACAGTAGTTTATGAGGTATCTGTCAAAGTCAAAATCACCCAAATGTTTTCCTATTTTACCATAGTGGAAGGAGAAGATGGTGTGTCTACGCGCATATTATGTGACGTCATCTGGGATACCAATATCAGCTGCTAGTCACAGACAGATACCGTTGCCATGGGCGTGCGCAATGAATTCAATCATGTTTTTTGAAATTTCTATGAGTTTATCGATCTGTTTAGAAATAATTCAATTTTGAAGTCAATAGTCATAAACACGAACATATAACCAGACAAATAGATATGTTAACTCTCTTCAAAATCAAATCAGATATGGGTAAAAGATCTATTTTATACAATGGAACAATTCTCTATAATGAATTACCTGCCAGACTAAAGAAAAAATTAAGTGTTGAAAAATTCAAAAAAGAACTGAAAAAATACTTATGTCTTTGATTCTCTTCATGTCATCCTGAATCAATTCAAGAAATTATATTCAACAGTCTCTAGAAGAAACAACATTATATGTATTATGTATATGATTTAAAAATGATTATCTGATTATCTTATTTTTGTTTTTTTAGTTGCTCTTTCATAATTTTTCCTGCTATAAACATATATGTTTCTTGGGAATAATAAAGATAATAAAATATAAACAAGTACCTATTCCTTCGATTTTACTATTTCATTGATTCTGGAAATTGTGATCTTGAGGTAATTCGCAATCGTAAATAGCAAAAACATACGAATCATGCATTGCCAATCCCATCTGAATGATCCACTACTCACTACTGTGTCGATTCTGACAGATTTAAATTCAGCAGTTAACGACGTTGACGTTGCTTCTGCTCCGACATCGACAACAGAACAGGAGTATCAATTTTTGCCGTTTTGTTATTCAAATCTTTGCTGCAATTTATATTTTGTGAGAAATTGAGAGTTTTGAATTCATTTTCAATTATTTCTGACTTGATATAGGACGGAAGATGTTCTGTAGGAATGGCATCTTGTTTCAAATATTTGTGATTTTTTGGAGGTGTAAATCAAGAACCGTACTTTCACAGTTGTTTGGGAACATTTTGCATGGAAATGTTTTGAAGAAATATGTACTGTAATATGAATGTGATGATAATATGATAGGTGAATACTTTTGAATGAGGATATAAAGAATATAAGGTAGGTACCATTATTTGAGTTTATTTTCTGTCGGCACCAAGCTCCTATCGTTTCATCAGGTCTCCATTCTTGGAGGAGCAGAAAAATGCAATATCTCTGCCTTTTGTATGTTAGTTGCAATTTCCATAACCAGAAACGAAACAAGTGAGCATTTCGAAATTATTTCATTCAATTTCAGTACTTATATAATATCTGAAGTTCGAGACATCAATCACGAAAACAAATAATAACAATGACAGTTATATCCCAGCTGACGTCATGCGCAGAACAAGACGAGTTTGAGCTTCCTGTTGAGCACACCATCTTCTCCTTCCACTATGTATTTTACTAAAAATAGAAAGCCTCTGAGGCTAAAGTCTATGTGAAATGTTAGATAACAATGTCGTTCATATTGACTAACGAAAAATCCTTATGCAGCGTGTTTGAACATGAACCCCAAATATTTAGGAGATAGTTCATTTTACTAAGAATGTAAGAGTATAGAACGGTATTTGCTATATATGTTTTGGACATCTTCCTAGGGCAAGTAACTATGGGAGGAATTTTTCCTTTGAGCATGCCAATATGCTTGATGTCCCATGTTAACTTTTCAACAATTCAAATACCAAGGTATTGGATTACCAGAAACAGGCCATATTAGAATGAAATTATCATATGATCATAGGAAATGAGTAACTAGTTTCGGGTTTTGAATAAACAGGTGATCATTTTGTGAGGTTATCTATTGAAAAAAAGATTTAAAAAACTGATGACGAAAAATGAAGCAGTCCAGAAGCGGCTGATAATCAACTACCTAAACATACAAAGTGTAAGATACAAGCTTGATGAGTTACTGTGTTACCTGAAGCTAAATAAATGTGATATCCTAATGCTAACGGAGACATGGTTGAACAAATGTGAAACTTTCCTTTTCAATATAGATGGTTACACAGCAGTACATTCCTGTAGGACTACCCGGGGAGGAGGAGCATCAATTTATGTGAAGAACTCTATAAAATTCCAGGAAATAAGAATAGTTGAAGGATCAGAACCATATAACCTGGTAGGCATTAGCCTAACTGAAAGCAAGTACAATCTATACACAATATATAGACCTCCATCTTTCCATGCAGCAGCATTTTTAGAAATATTAGATAATTTACTTAGTTTAGAGAAATCTAAGGATACCTTAATTGTGGGTGATTTTAATATTAATCTTTTAGGGGACTGTAATACCTCAATAGAATATAAGAATATAGTTGAGCTCTATAACTATAAAATAGCAAATAAAATCGGGGAATTATACGCCACAAGAGTAACAGACTTAACAAAAACTTTAATTGATCATGTCTTAGTTAGGGGGGACAACAAAGAATGTATTGTTCAAACTAAAGACTGTTCGTTCTCAGATCATAAGTCTCTAGTCATTGAAGTAGTAGGTATTAACAAAATCTATGTTCCAAAAGTTCATAAAACACTATTTCACCTTAATGAAAATCAGTTTGTTAGTAAGTTCAGAGAGTTGACAAATGAAGTTATAGTTAACTCTTTTGAAGAACTGATAGACATAACTCAGAAAGCAAAACAGCATGCAACAAAAACTGTAATAATTAAATGTCAAAAGCACAAGGACTGGATGACGTATGATTTCATTCAACTAGTTAAAAAGAGGGATAAAATCTATCAGGAAATGAAAAAAACACCCCAGGATGGTGATAAGAGGTCTGAATTCAAAAGAATAAAAAATATTGTGAACAGCAAAAGAAATCAGTTGAAAAAGGCATACTTTAAGAATAACTGGGAAGCTGCAGGGGAGAACTCAAATAAACAGTGGACCTTTATAAATAAGCTCTTAAGAAATAAAAAAGGGAATGACGAGGTAATTCAAAGTCTAAATATTGAGGGTGATATAATTACAGATACTAATGAAATTGTAAAAAAATTCAATGAATATTTCTCTAATGTTGGACGGAAAATAGTTGACAGCTTGGAAGAGGAGAGAGGTAGTACAGACATTGGTGATTTTAGGGAGATAACATGTGATCACACAATATTTATAGATGATACAAACATAAACGAAATCCAGGATACATTGAATAATATCAAAATAAAAGCATCAGCAGGGCATGACAGCATTTCTATGAAAAACATAATATCAATCAAAACATGGCTTAGTCATATATTGGTGAGGCTTATAAATAAAATATTTGAGACGGGAAAATTCCCAGAGATTCTAAAGATTTGTAAAGTAATACCTATACATAAAACAGGCCCAAGAACTGTCCTAGAAAATTTTAGACCTATAACAATTGTTAGTGTATTTTCAAAAATCATAGAAATGATAATAAAAAATCGTATCCTCTCTTTTATTGAAAGTTGTGTTAATACAGATGCATATCAATATGGGTTCCAAAAGAAGAGCAATACTCAAAGTGCTACTACTGATGTTATCAATTATATTTCTAGCAAAATGGACAAAAAAGGAATAGTAATATCAGTATTTGTGGATTTGAGAAAGGCATTTGATGTTGTTGACCATAAAACTCTTTTGAATAAACTTAACAATATGGGATTAAGAGGGAAAATGGTATTATTACTTGAAAATTATCTGACTGACAGAAGTCAATATGTTAGTATTGGTAAATTCAATAGTCCAATAATAAAGATCAATTGTGGGGTGCCCCAAGGCTCTGTGCTGGGACCCTTATTGTACTCTCTACACGTACTAAGCTTAAAACTTGCTGACCTCGGCAGTCGGTATTTTACATTTGCGGATGACACAATACTGATTTACAGTGGTATAGATCCTAATGATCTAGAAACTTCCCTCAACAATGACCTTCAAAAATATAAATGGTTGCTGCACAATAAACTTAAAATCAATACTTCGAAAACAGTTTATATGATATTCAAACAGAAAAACACTGAATGCAAAGAAATGCAGTTAAAGGTTGGTGATAACTTGATAAGTAGAGTAGAAAGTACTAAGTACTTAGGTCTAATGATCGACGAAAAACTAAATTGGCATAAACATACTGAACATATAAAGTCAAAAATGATTCCAATGATAGGTGCACTGTATAGATGTAGAGATTATCTTGATGAACGTAACTACCACTTAATCTACAACTCATTCTTCTTGGCACACTTCAGATATCTTATAACCATCTGGGGTACATGTGGTAGAACTAATTTCAAAATGATGCAAACCCTTCAAAATAAGATTGTTAAAATACTATTCAATATTCATAATAGAACACCTACAGAAGAAGTTTACATTCAAACCAAAATTGCCCAAATTAATAAAATATTGGTTCTGGAACAATGCAAATATATCTACAAAATCACGAACAACCAACAAAAATGCAATGGTCATCTTGATCATATCTACCAAATTCACTCTCATGACACACGAAACAGGATTAACATTCACTTGGGCAATGCTAGAACTGAAATTGGACTGAACAATCCAATGAATAGAAGTATAGAGTCATACAACGCATTACCTATGATAATAAAAAATATAGACACTTTTAACTTATTTCACAAAGAACTGAAACGGCACTTGGAAATGTAATATAATATTGTAATTTAGATATAGGCCTCTTTGGTATCCCCGTATTACTGCTTTCTCTGTTGTTGCTCACCATTGTTAAATAATACTAATAGTCTTTTTATTCTTATTATCTTTATTTCAATATTCTATATTATTGTAATTTAGATATAGGCCTCTTTGGTATCCCCATATTACTGCTTTCTCTGTTGTTGTTCACCATTGTTAAATAATACTAATAGTCTTTTTATTCTTATTATCTTTATTTCAATATTCTATATTATTGTTATACGTTATCTGGAGCATCTACATATTGTTATTGTTAACTAGTAGATGTAAATATGAAAATAATCACTTAAATGTAGTTCTAATGTTGATACAGTAGTAATCTGTTGGTATACATGTATTGCATTGAGATCACACAATTTATATTTCCACACATGTCATGTTATGAAAATTCATTATTCCGATACCAGCAAGCTTCAATTTGCTGTTTAGGAATTATATTGGATCACCGGGAAGTATATTCTTATTTAAATTAGGCTATACATATGTTTGAACTTGTATTTCTTATTCTATAGTGAACTAAAAAAAATAAAATAAAATGTAATAATATACATTATGGTGGTGAATAAAAAAAAAAAAAAATTTGAGTATTATGATAACATAAAAACAACCAATGAGATATATTATTATCACGATTACGTGTTTCTTAGGATTCATGCATGAATCAATGTTTCATTTCTTCAAGACTTACGACTTGCGACTAAGACTTGCGATTACTATCACTCCATAAATCCACCAATAATTTTCAGTTTCTGTCAATTACTTTCTTAATGTGTCTTAGCGATCAAATCGTTCGCGTAAAAAGATACAAAAAAATATGCTAATGATAACGAAAGATGTGCAGTTGTGCCTAAATCAATATTTTCATAGCAACTCTTAAGATATTGCTGCCTGGTGTTATTGCACGCAAAAGACCCACGGTGAAACCGGCACTGGAAGTGCCTCTTTCAAATCAATTATTTCGGATCAGTAAAATAGCAAATCAACAGTCAAAATGCAAAAAAAAACACATAATTTACCTGCATATTATCGAAGGCGATCCCGACGTTCTCGCTGAAGTTGTCGTTGTACCTCGGCAATTTGGCGTAACGCTGACTGAAATGTGTCAAAATCACGTGTTTGGCGGCCATCTTTCGGCCAACTTCGATGGCCTGCGAGGTGGTGGAATGCATCTTGACGACCGCCTCTTGGGCCAGCTCGTCCTCCATGGTGGCCTCGTGTATCAGAACGTCGCTATTCGCACCTGCAGTTTTTTTGAATATTTAGTGTTTTTTGATTTCTCGAATTTTGTGAATTTTTTTGATCTTCAATTTTTGTATTGAATCTTATAATTTTTTGAATTTCTTGAGCGCACTGAATAGAATCTCTATCATGTTCGTGGAACATCGTGAGTACAGGGTCTCCACGTATGTTTTCAACCCCCCCTTGACATTTAAAATGTATTGTACAATTTTTTTCAACTATTCTTTGTGAATTTGTCTGTAGATTTCATGCAGCTGATCATCTTACGTTAGATTTAGTAATATTGCAATATAAAATATCGTATTTTCAAAGATTCATTTCTGAGCTCTCAAAGTTGCTCTGATTTTTTAATAGTTGTAGATAAAGTATAGATAGATAGATAGATCTTTATTTAACTACGTGATGTATAAAACATTTGTAGCAAGTCAGGTAGCAAGTAGTTACAAAAAGTACAGTACAATATTCACTAAATAAATAAAATAACAATGATAGTAAAATAAAATAATATGTGTACATTACAACATATCATACACATACAGGGTGTCCGGGAACATGTGGGAAATCTCCCGGATATGAAGAAAACACGTGAAAAGAATACTATAAGTTCATATAAACTTCTTTTGTATCGGCCTCCTCTTCGGAGATATGGGCTCCCAAAGAGCTCCCATGGAATTAAGTTTTTGACACATAATTCTTGAACCAACAGGTATATTTCAATTTTTTTTTAATATGATGTATACTAGGTAAGACTCTTCAAATTACTATCCAAGAAAGTGTTGCGAATTACTCACAGCTCCAGGGACGGACTAGCTGTGACACTCATGGGCCCATTTTTTTTACGCCCTGTATGATAAGAACTCTGGACAACGTTTTTTACATACCTCTAACTATTGACTAAAAATTAAGTACTCTTCATTCATGTCGCTAATCATAACCGTTTTCGGAAAAACGTCATTTTATTTATATCATGTATTTAGCGTATTTCGATAAAAGATACTTTTTTTTCGAGTTACCTTTGCAAACGTTGCTAGGTTAGAAATAAATAAATATCCTTCATTTTAGAACTTGTCAACTTTCACATTACTGATACATTGATTCCTTATTACTTTGATATTTGATTTTTGAATTTCGTTGTGAAATTAATTGTGAAATAATTCGAAATATGGAATACACGTTTATTGAGTATGCAGATATGCATCTGATGTATGGTCTTGCATCTTCCAATGCTTTGGAAGCCAGAAGGTTATATCACGACAGATTTCCTAATCGCACTCTTCCAGATCAGAAGACATTTCAACGAGTTGACCAACGTCTAAGGGAGAATGGTGGGCGATTCTTCTTAATAAGGTATAATAAGGTAATGTTATTTACTTCTTTCATAATTTTAGGAAATTTTGGAAAAAGAAGTAATAATACTGGTCAGGGAAGAACAGTACGTACGCCGCAATTAGAGGAAAATATTTTAAATGCTGTATATGATACTCCTTCAACGAGCACTCGAAAATTATCAGCGCAGTTTAATGCGTCGAAAACAATAGTACATGAAGTTCTTCAAGAACAACTGTTATACCCATATCATTTGCAAAAAGTGCATGAACTGATTCCTGAAGATTTTCCCCGTAGAATGCATTTTGCAAACTGGCTATTGGATCAGCAACGAAATAATGTAAACTTCATTAGCACTATTCTCTTCACGGATGAAGCAGGTTTTACCAAAAATGGTATCATGAATTTGCATAACACCCATGTATGGGCTGATGAAAATCCTCATGCCACTATTGTTTCGCATCGCCAACATCAGTTCCAATCAATTAATGTCTGGGCAGGAATCGTTGGCAATTTTTTGATTGGACCATTCGTATTGCCGGCACGATTGAATGGAATACTTTATTTGGAGTTCCTCCAGAACGCTTTTAATGATTTAGTCGAGCACTTACCACTTGAAACCCGCCGAAACATGTACTTTATGCATGATGGGGCACCACCTCATTTCAGCGTTGCTGTGCGGGAGCACCTGAATAACGTCTATCCAAACCGTTGGATAGGTAGAGGAGGACCTATTGCCTGGCCTCCTAGATCTCCCGACCTAACGCCATTAGATTTTTACCTGTGGGGACACCTCAAAACCTTGGTGTATTCCACTCCGGTCGATACTAGGGAGGAACTTCTACGGAGAATCACGTTTCATTGTGATGTGATAAGGAACAATGCTGGGTTATTGTGGCGGGTACAGCAGTCCTCAATTCGTCGTGCTCGCGAGTGTATCAGACTTCATGGAGCCCATGTTGAACCCTGTTACGAAGTTTTTAACTAAGCAGTTAAAGTTCAACTTTTTATTGAAACTATGTTGGTTACCGTGGAAAATTACGCTAAATACATGATATAAATAAAATGACGTTTTTCCGAAAACGGTTATGATTAGCGACATGAATGAAGAGTACTTAATTTTTAGTCAATAGTTAGAGGTATGTAAAAAACGTTGTCCAGAGTTCTTATCATACAGGGCGTAAAAAAAATGGGCCCATGAGTGTCACAGCTAGTCCGTCCCTGGAGCTGTGAGTAATTCGCAACACTTTCTTGGATAGTAATTTGAAGAGTCTTACCTAGTATACATCATATTAAAAAAAAATTGAAATATACCTGTTGGTTCAAGAATTATGTGTCAAAAACTTAATTCCATGGGAGCTCTTTGGGAGCCCATATCTCCGAAGAGGAGGCCGATACAAAAGAAGTTTATATGAACTTATAGTATTCTTTTCACGTGTTTTCTTCATATCCGGGAGATTTCCCACATGTTCCCGGACACCCTGTATAGTAGACACAATAATTATTGGGACATATAAAATGAGTATTGGAGCATAAATATATGTGTTTCAGTTTTTCAAATCACATCCTGGGTGGGTCAGCCATATACTCAGCAATACTGTAGTAGCATTTTTCCTGTAATATCACTTTGAGAGAGTTTTTAAATGTCGATTGATTTTCATGCTTTAGTGTTGCAGGAAGTATATTGTAAAGGTCAACAATCATTGAGTTTTTGAATGACTTGTTGTATTTAAATCTTCGAGACCTGATCAAATTTGCATTGCGTGTGTTATGATCATGGTAATTTGAGTTAGTCAGGAGTTTATTTTTATTTTCATGAATCTCGAGCAGAGACTGATAAATATACAAAGTTGGTAAAGGCATGATATTGAGTTGGCAAAATAATGGCCGACAGGAATCTCTGTAACCCGCACTACAGATTATTCTAATGGATTGCTTTTGAATCTTGAACACTTTTCCAGAGTAGGAGGAATTTCCCCAAAGGGTCAATCCGTAGCTGATATATGATTGGATGAGAGCAAAGTACGCGGAAAGAAGAGTATTTTTTTCAACAAACGCTTTTAGTTTTCTCAGAAGAAAATTGTGTTTGCTCAACTTGGAACAGGTATTTTCAATGTGTGGTTCCCAGCTTAAACTATCGTCAATAGTTAATCCTAGAAGTTTGGCGTGGTCGCCTACAGATACTTTATTGTTTGTTGAAAAGATTAAATGTTTTGTCTTATCTTTATTCAATTTTAGTAAATTACTATTAAACCATTCTTGTGCAAGGTTTTCTGCTGTTTTCATCGAAGTTAATAGCGATTCGTAACTATTTTCAGAGCATATAAGAGAGCTATCATCAGCAAAAGCAATACCTAGATAAGTAGTAGTATTCTACTCGCGCAATTTTCAGATTTCATAATAATGTAATATCTTCTCAATATTGACAATACACGTCGGGAGACAACACAACCTGGAGCTAAAATCTACTACTTTTTTCCCTTGAATAAGTAAAAAATAACTTTTTTTAGTTGTTCTTTCATAATTTTCCCTGCTATAAACATATATGTTCCTTGGGAATAATAAAGATTATTATTATTATCTAATGACCTTGGCGACCGCAAATAGATATTTCGGAAAGATGCAATTCTATGTTCTCCGTGACCAGAAAATTAGTTGTTTCTCGCTCGTTGTCTACCATTAACATTTGATTTATCAAACGTTCGTGGAAATTAATAAAGTTTTTCTCCAATTGTTCATTAAAATAAACTGCTGAGTCGTATTGGCAAGGTGATGATTCCTATACGTCATCTGCTGGGCATATTTGAACCAGTTTCAGGGCATTCAAGGTCATTTTTGTTATTGTTTATTATTCTATTCATTTAATTGATATTTCATGTGATTCATTCAACAAATTACTTCAATTTTCTGTTCTTGATTTTCTTGAGTACAGGACAAGAACTTTATATTAATTACCGACACAATTCAACATTTTTTTTATAAATCATGAATCAACAAATCACTCAAAAACCGAGAAATCAACTGTGTTCTGTTGATGGTTGCACTAGTTAACTGATTCCATCACTCAAGAAGTCTTTTCTGATGATGAAAAATCAGTTCAGTTCGATGGACAAATGGATAATCGTGGAGCATCGAATATACATATATCAATGAAAACAAGGTAAAGTTGTGATTCATAGATATATATTATTACTGATTATTAACTATTTGTAGTGCTCATCTGAAAGAACATGATTGAAATGATCAACAGTTCATATTTTGCATGGTAAGTTCCTGATGAGGTCTCCAGAAACTAGGACTAGGAAAAATAAAAATGTCCCTTTCTCTTTCAAATACCCATTGTGATAATGAGAATGAAGAAGCAAATTCAGTGTCATGGACTTTTGAATTGCAATACACGAGGGTGGGCAAGAAAGATTGCATTGGAAAAATGTGCAGGTCAGCATTTTATGGTTCTATATGAAATACTTGTCTTCTCTGAATCATATTAAGATAATGTTCATAAAATCCTGCGTAGGATTTCATAGATTCCTATTTTTGGAGTATTATTTTTATAGTAATGATAGCCAATTCAGATTGCATGTACTTCCAAAACTATTAAGTTAAAATACATGAGCAGAAATAGAAGCATTTTACCTTGATTCAAACAATTCTGTACAACCAACAGAGATCAAATATCTAGGTATCTATAAATGTTTATTTAGGTCAATACTAACATCTTTTTGAATTTTTTGCAAGGAAGAAGATTTAATGTTCAACCAAAACCCAGACAGTATTGTTTCAATCAACGACATGATGTAATGATGATTCAACAATAATATTTGATATTTTCTGTGATAACTTCGAGAATTAACACAATTAACACACACATAGCAGTAATAAAATGTATGCAAAACACACAAAATATGTAAACAAAGTGCCCTGATATCGCCGCCATCTTTTTTGATACAGCGCCCTCAACGGACGATCACCTTGCTTATTCATATACTAACCGAGTTCAATGAGAGAGTCTGCTGGCATGGTGTCACCGGAATATGTCAATTTTATTCCATGTTTATCAACCAAAGATACTCCAAACGCATTAGGGCAATGTCTAACAAAACAGGTCTTCAAGTCTGACAAATTCAATTCAGATAATATCGGTTTCATCATATCAGCTGGATACACTGGGTTGTTATACACCTGTGAACAAAAAACTCCTTTGAGAATGATTTTCTGTGATACAGATATACAGGCTGAATCACGGTGGATGGCACATTAGACGTTTCTGGAGAACGCAACTCAGGATTATTCTAAAAAGTTGGTGCCTCAGATAATAGACCTGAAATATTCTCAGTGTTGCGACGTTGCCGCTTATATTGAAAAGTGGCAACAACTTTGATTGTTTAAATGGGACACCCTGTATATTATGTGTCGAAACTATTCATCATTGGTCAAAACGGTTTCCATGTCCCTATCTTAACTTTTTATGTACTATCAATTGATATTTAATTGAAATAGACACAGGTGGTCAAAAACCTTAATTCTGAACCACCCTGTATTTGTTTCAATTGAATATCAATTGATAGTGAATATGATGTTGGGATAGGGATATGAAAACCGTTTTGACCAATTATGAATAGTGTTGACAAAAAATTTAAAATTTCGAATTTAAATTTCAATGAAATCAATTCATTACATAATCATGGAACAAGACAATCAAATTTACTAATAGCAAATACGTTCAAGTCAAATATCGGCAAACAATCAATTTTTCACACAGGAATCGTTCTATACAACTCATTACCAAGTCAATTGAGGAATATACAGGAAGCAACTAGATTCAAAATTAACTTAAAAAAATATCTGCTTCAGAGACTTTGATAATCCCATTTCTTATTTGAATACCTATTTATAAAAGACTAGGTTGATATTGCATGATTATTTGCATTTTTTTTTTTTAACTTGTTTTATCTTATTATAATTTCATAATTGTATGTATAACATTATGTATATTGTTTATGTATCCCTATTATAAACAACTATGTTTCTTGGGGTAATAAAGACAATCAATCAATCAATCAAATTCCTAGAGTTGAAAAATATCCATTTTTCACATCCTATAACTCTGTATTTATTACTGCTAGACCCCAAGTGTTATAAAGTCAATAGAATCAGCTCTTCAGGGAGAATCTGAAAATGGAATAGTATACAGGGTGTCCCATTTAAACAATCAAAGTTGTTGCTACTTTTCAATATAAGCGGCAACGTCGCAACACTGAGAATATTTTTGTTCGATAGAACACAACTAACACTTTGCGTTCTCCAGAAACGTTTAATGTGCCATCCACCGTGAATCAGCCTGCATAAATACAGGGTTTCGCAGAAAAACTTTGAATAAAGTTTCATGATAGAAATCATGAGGGATCCAAATCGGAAGATAATTATTTTGAGGACTTTAAATGACTGCTAAGGAAAATCTGCCTTCTCCGATTGTTACAATTATTATTCAGTAATATTTTTCGAAAATGAGAATTAACATGAGACGCTTCTTATTCATGTTTTGATGTATACCGGGTGTCCCATTTTAATCATTATTTGGAAATTTCTCGAAATGTATGCATCTGACAAAAAAAATTGCCGAATAAAAGTTGTATGGTTTGGAGGGGGACGTCTGGTTATAAAACAAGTTTCACCCCCTGACCCTCAGGGGAGTGGGAAATGGAGGTAAGATTGAAATCTTTAATGGAAACCCTATTATAAACAATAATGTTTCTTGGGGTAATAAAGACAATCTATCAATCAATCAGTTTGCTTGGAACCTAGAACGATCTGAGATAAGAATTCAATTATTTTTCATAAATATTCCAATCGAGTTTTCAATAAAAAATTACACAACATTGGTTTTTCTAACAATGGGCGTGTACACATTAGTAGAACTTTTAACTCAAACCATGTTTATAATGATCCTTTTATAGATAAATAATGATTGACGACATAATTCGATCGAAAAATTAACTGGAATGTTTTATTTTTGGACATAAATAATAGTACCTTCTGAAAACGGACCCTCTTATGACGTAGAAACCTCATCTCGCCATAGTTGAAAGACAATACCAAACGCCCGACGGAGACTGATGCAACTGATATATTAATTCTTTCAACTGTGATCTCGCGCTAATTCACTCTGTCAGAAATCATGTATCATTCATCTCAGTCCGGAATAGTCTTGTTTCAGTATTTTTGACGTCACATCATCGCCTCGTTTTCAGAAGTCCGAAAAATCGGGGATTTCAATAATTTTTTATAAAACGTAGGTGATTTAGTTTGGGTGAGTTCTATCGAATTATGAAATACAAATTTTTTGTGATATAAGCCCATTGGAGAAGGAATTATATGTTTCACACGGCAGGAAATGTAGATTGACTGTCTTGGCTGAATTTCTATGAACTATCAGCCGCGGCAGTCAATCTACAACTTACCTGCCTAGTGAAAGAAATAACTATTCTAGAAATAAAGTTCATTTAGGCCGAGGAAGGTTAGAATGCTCAGAAAAAGTAGTCTCCTTTCTTTTGCAGAAGTGATATTTTCCTTCGTCCCTATTAGAACGGTGCCTAAATCTGTGGGCTTCTGAAGCATCACTATTGGCTAGACAGCCTCACAGATTTCAGGGTAGGGGGAGTGTGTAAATATGCGTACTGGACGCCCAGTATACATGTAAATGGGCTAATCAGTATGGGGCAAGAACTCGATAGGACCACTAACATAACTACTATCTAGACCGCTAGTGGTCATATCCCAGCAACTCGAAAATCTCATCCAAATTACTCGCCTGGAAACGCTTCTGCTCAATGCGCAAGAATTCCAAAACTGTCATTCATGACATCGAATCAACACTTGTTGTTCGGAAACAACTGAGAGTAAGATGACAGAACCTGAATGCCAAAGCTCCATTAAACCTAGTTCGACCTCGTAAATGAATGAGCTTTGATCTTGAATTAGCGGTCTAGTTAGTAATTTATGTTGGAGTCACCTTGACCTATTGAGAATGAAATTGATCAGATGCTTACCAAATCTCCGTTGGGTATCAGAACGAACTCTTCCGTGATATCTTCGAAACATTTATCGTAGAAACTGAGCCAGGCCATGATCTGTTTCGGGGCGAACAGATACAGCGGTCCTTTATCGCGCAGACGCTGATTCCTAATCGCTTTTCTTCTACCTTATAATAGTAGAATGTTTTATTAGGATCAAAAGTGACACTGTCTCGCAAATTTTGCTTTCGCTCGGCTTCGCTAAACGCTCTGCCTCGCAAATGCAAAATTCACTTGTCAAACGAAGTCACTTATACCACGTCAGTATAGGAACAAGACGAGGAAAATGTTAGGTTAGTGAGCATATCAACAATATTAATAGCGATTATTTATTTCTCCACATACTCCACTGTGTTTGGCTTGATAATCAAATGAAGATAAACAATATCGTTGTGTGTGACAAAAAATTATTGCTGGCCGTGATTATTCAAAAACGAGTTATTCAATCAATAAGATCTCGGAAATAACTGATGAAATACAGATCAAGCAAGTATGTGAATCTTGAAGGCTTTCTTGATCAAAATGAAAATACTTAACTATAAAAAGGTGTATCTCCAGCATGGGTATGAAATGCCAAATCTGCCGAAATTGGAAACAAATCAGGTATGCCTCACAACCAACTTTAGCTCCTTTTTAGTTCAACTTTAGCTCCTAGGAACTAAATGTGTTACCTAGCAACATACCTATTTTTGTGTCAGTAATAGAAACGTCAATTCAAGAGCTAATTTTGGTTTTAAAATGGACGACTTTTGTGTCGGTTGCAGAAAAAATCAATTGATTGATAGTATTCATTTCAGAAGGAAATCTGAAAGTCGGGCTGAACAGTAAACACAGTTTGAATAGAGCTTGAAATACCATTTTACGCCGAGCGCTGCTTTTGACATATTATTTGATATCATCTGTACTGGCAGTATTTGCGAATCGGTCAATTTACAAAATGCCAAAGGTTTGTCACATCCAGTGTTGTCATGTCAACAAAATCATGCACGAACACACACATTCTTGTGCTATTAATTTTGGTATAGAAGAGCCTAGAGCCCACAAAATTATTTCCCTGGAGAACAAGATCTGGATTCTCGGGTTTCTCATCAGCCAGGTATAAAAACCGTTGATTTAATTTTTATTCCCGCCTAATATTTATCCCGTTTTCAGACAATACGAACAATAATATTCAATAACATGATTCGGAATCTGGTGTGGATGGTTCCCCGCAAGAATTTGAATTCAGTGAAGCTGGATTGTACCAGAAGGACGTCGGCTGTATCTCGGAAACTAATTGCCGCACAGGTTTCGGAAAAAATATTCATGGTAAAAGTGGCCAAAAGAAATCGCTGGAAATTATTATATAGGGCGTAATTGCATTGACCAATTTATAAAACGGGATTTTGTGAGAATTCGGTATGTCGTATGTCAAAAACTATTTTTCATAATTTCCAATCATTAAGATCAAAACAAATTGCGCTACCTCTTCACATAACTGAAGAAGGGTAGGAAGAATAGCGCTATGGAAAAACTCTTAAGCAGGATTCATAGATTGAAGCGCAGCAGCTGCCGCTGCCGCTGCGGTTGCAGCCGCCGTTCAAATTGTGAGTGTAGTTAAACATGTATATGTTTATAGATTTGCCGCTGCCGCACCAAGTTGACCAACTTATATACAAATACAAATACAAAATCTTTATTTTCATTGACTGAAATACATCATTATAGGCATTGTCAAGGTCAGAAAATATATAAAACTTAATACTAGAATAGAACGATGGTAGAATAAAATCGGACAAAATGACATTATATGTTATACTAGCAGCAATAACATCACTAACATAACATTATCTAAAGACATTTAAACATGTTAAAATTGGTTTTCAAAGAACTCTTGCAGGGAGTAGAAAGGGTTTTCTTTCAATAAAATTGTGATTCATCTTCGGCGGCGGCGGCAGCGGACGAATGACATAAAACAAGATGATCTTGAAGCTGACATTTCCAGTTCTGTGTGTTTCTGTGTCAAAAAATTCACTAGAGTCTAGAGGTTATGTTATATTCTTATTAAAATTTAGTTTCCCGTTGTTGAATGACAATTTATAGTGAAAATAGAGAACATTGATATAGGAGTATTCCTAAATTTGGTAGAGAACTCTCCCCATCTACAGGGTGTTTCAAAAAAACCTAACCCCCTAGGGTAGGTAGAACATTGCAAAATAAGTTGGGTTGGGTTTGCTCAGTGAAAAAATGTAACGTTATCCGTTTTCAAGATACAAGGTGTATATTTTAGTTTTCACATTTTTACGATTATGTCGAAACTACTGGCAACATTGTGATGAGATTTTGTATGGATGTGTTCTGAAAGCTGACACACCGCATGACTTTGTTTTTATATCTGACACTCATAGAGGGCGCTAGTTATTATTGTTGTTGGTTTTGTTGTTATTACCTTGTAACAGCCCGGTGAGACCGATATGGTGATCGGCATGCAGATGCGACACGTATATCGCTTCGATGTTGGCCAACACTCGGTCGGACTCGCTGGGGCCGAAAAACCTCACAATCTGGCCGTAAGTCCCTTCGCCGCAATCGAGAACGATGTGTTGTCGGTCACTGTAACAGGGTTCGCTAAGTAACCAATGTTTTTCATTCATAGGCAATATTACAAGTTTTACAAGCAATACGAAAATTATTTGATAGCAATTTTTGTTAATCTCAAAAAAGCTTTCGATACAGTAGACCACATAACACTTTTGGAAAATTTAGTATCAATGGGACTCAGAGGCATAAAAAGAGTAGGCTGAAATCGATTTTCATAATTTTTGGCATAGCATGTTCTGTGACTGTGAGTCACGTTTTGAGATGTTTTTGATCATCATCAGTGACCTGCAAGTGTTTCAAACAACTATGTTGCCCTACAAATTTTGTGATAACTTTTCAGAGGTCGGACTGGAAACTTCCAGTTTTGTTTTTCCAGAAAGATCTTCTCTTCAGAAATTTTTTTGTATGGTGTTAATTTTTGATGTCTCGAGAAAATTAATCTAATAAGTCGTAATGTTTATTGATCATGGCTACAATGTATTCTTATTGTAAACAAACTGATATGTAATGCAATAACTGAAATAAATAAATAAATAAATAAAAATAAATAATATGTTGCTGGTCCTCGCGGGCTTTACAAGAACTCTCGCGTTACAAATTTAGCGATAACTATTCAGTACCTAGGGTGAGCACTTAAACACCTTGTACCAACTCAACGAAAAGATTTTGGATATAGATAAGTTGGCTAAAATCAACTTATTTTTATCCCAGGAGTCTACAGTCTAGCCTTGTCCCAACCAGATTATTTTTCTAAAAAATGCATAAGATGCCCCAGATCAGAAATTATTTATTTGCAAATGAACCTCGAGACTTATCAAAAATTAACACGATACAAAAAATACTTCTGAAGGGAATATCTTTCTGTAAAAAAAAACTGGAAGTTTCCAGTCCAACCTCTGAAAAGTTATCACCAAATTTATACGGCAACATGCTTATTTGAAACACTTGCAGGTCACTGATGACGATCAAAAACATCTCAAAACGTGACTTACAGTCACAGAACATGCTATGCCAAAAATTATGAAAATCGATCTCAGCCTACTCTTTTTATGAGCAAAATTATTTTTTTTCCAAAAAACTCCAACGCCTCGTACCAACTCAACGAGATGATTGTGGGTATAGGTAAGTTGGCCTAAATCAACTTGTTTTTATTCCAGGCGTCCACAGCCGAGCCATGTCCGAAACTTTTACAGACACCCTGTATATATCCATTTTTTTGTGTTCATAAATATATCTGAGAATATTCCTTTTCAATGGTATGAGAATTCTTTTGAGAATTGTAATAGCACCGTGAGATTGCTGAATGTAAAAAATTCAATACCAGTTCAGTAGCTATAACTCGTTGAAGTATATTTTAAATCCAAGTTAATGAATTATGCGAGAGAAATAGGTGATTTGTACTGTCTTCTAGTTCAATTTCTGAGAAACAGATGGTTTTGAAATCAACAATGAATATTGCTGCTGCCTACGCTCACTCATATTTTACTTTCAATTCCTCTCTTTTGGGCACTGTTCAATATTAGAAGATCATTGGATGAAATAAATTCAATTGATCAAAATATATGTTGGTCAACAGATTCAACAAAAAATCCGATAAACCAAATTTGCATCATCAAAGTATGAATATTATTTCAAATATGATTCTAATTTGAAATTAATAGAGTTGAAATCTAGATTCACTTGGTTTATTTCTTTATTTGTGGTATGACATTTGCCAGATGATACTATAACGCACACACAATATACTTACGTTGTCAAACTTACTTTGTAGAAAATAATATTCCACTAGTGTTCCTTGTTTTATTTGGAATGCAAGATCCTGTACCCAAGAACAAAATTTTCGGGTATTCGCTATTATGAAGCTTCTTCTTTTCATCAATCAATTTATCTTTCAGGTCGGTCAAAGCTGTTGGAAAATTTTCGACTGCCATTGTTTCGTTTATATATTCTTTGGGATTTATTTTAATTTCAGCTGTTCTGAAAACAGGAATCTTATTTTACACGAGACATTCTCTAATAAGAGTATTTTAGTAGTGTTCAAGAATGCGCTGAAATCATCATTCATCACTCTGTAATTCACGTCATCTGATGGATGCAAGATTTTAGAAGAGTGCTGAGCCGTCATTGTGACTCAATGTCAGAATGGAAGGAAAAAGCAATGTCATTCAATTAGTCATACTGTTGATTAATTTTCTAATAGGTTGCGTGCAAGAACTGTCAGATGACCGACCCTGGAGGTGAAACATTTGAAACACAACCTCACTTTTCTTATTTGTTTACAAGTGATTGAAATAGTTTTTCACGATTATTTTGGCATAGGAATCGTGTTTTTCGGCTATTTATTAAATTGCGCATGCCATCACATTGTGCTGTTGTACAATGCACAAAAAATGCAGCGGGAGACGAAGAAATCTGGTTGGTACATTATGATTCAACAGTAAGTACATATAGTTTTCATTTTTGAAATTTGGTAATTTCCATGATTTTTCATCGGGATTTCTTCTGCAATAGGATCTAATAGAAATACTCGTGAAATTTCTAAAATAATGCAATGATGTGATGTAAACATTTTCAATCTTATAGCAGTATTAGCTTCTATTGCAGAAGTGGCAGACGGAATTTTAATAAGAAATGACAAAATTTCATAATGAGAACTATCTGAGATTACTATTTACCTGAAAAATCATATTCCTTCGTCTCTCGCTGCATTTTTTTTTGCATTGTACAACAGCACAATGAGAAGGCATGCTTGAATTAATGGATAGCGCAAAAAACACGATTCGTATGCCAAAATTTTGTGAAAAACTATTTCAATCCTTTGATTTCTCTGTAAACATATAAAAAGTGGGGTTGTGTTTCAATGTTTCACAGAAGACTGAGGTTGTGTTTCAATATTTCACCTCCAGGGTCGGTCATCGTGCACGCGACCTATAAAATTAATTTTTTCCCGAATATGATTGTTGATAGCTTTTGTTGTGCCAGTTCCGAAAAATTAGCCAATAACACCGTCTCCGAGAAAGAAATGCAAGTCCTCTTTACCTTACTGATATACTGGTACAATAAACTACAAGTTTATTGTACCAGTATATCACCTGAGGAAGCTACTGTGTTAGCAAAACATGTCGTGTGTTTGAGAATTTTGTGGAAATCTTATCGTTGTGAAGTTTTTACAATATAAGGTGTGACTAGCTTGGGATTCAAAAATAATTTTGAGACTTTGCATCTGTCAAAAATCTCGAAAAAAGAAATGGCGTACTCTAGATATATGATGTCCTGAGTGAACATCTGTATTCAGCATAGATTGTGAAAATTTATTTAAAAAATGGCACATTACAAGTCCATATCCGCTTTAACCGGAAGTTGTAGGAAACTGAAGATATTTAAGTTGAAACGAGTACTTTGGAAAGCACCTGGATACAACATTTCAGAAAACTAGTCTCAGAGTTTCGAATACATATATCGGCTAAGCTCGTCGAGAAAGACCCTGTATTATTTTCAAAGCAGTTTCTTACCTATCCAAACCTTTTCTAGGCCTCAACTGGTATGTACAAATGGTTTTCGGGCTTATAAATAATGAATCCGGTGTCGCTGGTCTAGACTGGACTGTCAAATTTTCAAAATTGAGGTCGTTCTGGAGCGAAGTGTGTGCATTGGCATTGCCATTTTTTTCTTCGCACTTCTGTTTTTTATTAGAAGGATTATCTGAAATCTATAATTCATAATATAACGACGAAATATGGTGTACAGGGTATATATCTCAGATCTATACAGGGTGTTTCCTAACTACGGTTCCTAACTGCAGGGGGTGATTTGTCAGGTCATTTTTAGAAGAAAAGTTTCTATGAAGATATGTCCGGAGTTGGTTCGTTTCTGAGATACAGGGCGTTGAAATTGAAGAAAAAAAAAACGGTAATTATAAAATATCATGAATAACCTGGAACCGATTTGGTTGAAATTTGGTACTTTTATTTGTCAAATTCTCTAAGATTCAGCATATCAAGTGTAAATTATATTTTTGGCGGAAATAATAAAAACTCATTTCTCTAATGCAGGTGTTCATGATATGCAATACAGTGGGCTTTAATTTTTTTCTCGGAAACGAAGATGGATATGAAAAAAATACAGGAGACCAAAAAATTGTATTTTGAGTTGCTCAATCTAAAAAAAATAAAAATTCACCAAAAAAGTCAGTGGCGTACTTTTTTTTCACAATATTGTTGGCTGTGGTGCCCACTGAAACGCCACTAGCCCCAATAATTTCAATCTAAATAGGGCTAAATAAGCGCTTTATTAGTTCAAATAAAAGTACCAAATTTCTACCGAATCGGTTCTAGGATATTCATGATATTTTCTAATTACCATTTTTTTTTCTTCAATTTCATCGCCCTGTATCTCAGAAACGAAGCAACTCCGGAAATATGTTCATAGGAACTTTTCTTCCTGAAATGACTTAACGAATCACCACCTGCACTTAGGAACCGTAGTTAGGAAACACCCTGTATATGGAGAATCAGAAGTAGCATGACTCTGAACATTAGTAGGGACAGTGGTTAACTCCCGCATTTTTCATTTGATATAAATTTCGTATGAATTGGTTATGCGCATGCGGTGTCCTTTGTGACTCTGGCCACCCTGCTTTTGAGTAGGTTCACGAAAAATCAAACGAAGTCAGCGATCGAGTTAGGAAAATTCAAGTTTCCGAACAGAGGTAGGTGACTTGGTTTAGGTTACCGAACGTAGAGGTTAGGGATCCGATCAACCTGAGTAAGTTTCCGAAAACGCCTATAGCAAACTCTGTTATAATTAACCCGAATACACTGTTCAGATGCGACATTCGCATTAATGGCACTCGAATCTAGTAGGTATTCATCAATAACGACTTGTCATATGCTGTCATGGTCATAATCTACTAAATTTTAATTAGAATTGAAAAGGAGTGCTTTCATAGTGACAATAGGTTGATATTTCAGTTTCACAGAACTAAAATGATTGAAATGTATTACAAGTGGTGAAATAGCTATTTGTGTATTTAGAGCGCAAAGTGATAGATTGCCGCTCGACAAAGAAAGTTACCGCGCGATGCGGAGCGGAGCGCGGTAATCTTTGGAGAGCGGCAATAACACTTTGTGCTCGAAATACACACAAGATTTTTTCTACTAACGCAGCTTTTGGAAATAACTGCACTGAAAGTATGAGCGATTGAAATAGTTGAAAAAGTTCTTATCCATCTTATCCCATATGTCCATAGGAAACAAAAAGAGAAAAATTGAAATAACTGACAAGCCAGAAAAAAAATGTCGGGCCTACCGAGAGTTGAAACTGGATCTCCAGCGTGGCAATCTGAGCTTCAGACCACTGAGCCATAGTACGATAAACTCTGTAATCAAATTGAACATTACTCATTGATGCAATAAAATTGAGATACACTGTCTTTCTGATGACAAAAAAGTGTTTAAATATAAAGTAAAATTCATCGTTTTCAACAGATATGCTTCATCGGGAGCTTCTTGTAAAAATTTTTTGGTATATATCTTCAGCGGTGAATGTTTTGGATTTTTCTCGCTTTCGAATATATAGACCAATGAGTTGATGACTTCAGAGTCTTTGATTTTTTACCAAAATAAGCCAGTAAAACGTTTTCTGAATACATATTCACCATCTCGGAGTGGCACCAATTTATGAATGTATCGTATTGTAATTCATATTTCTTCCTTGATTTCTCCGGTAAGAGATTCAAACTCTTGTGCTTTCTGCTATATCATCAGGAAGGAGGTGTGTTTGATGATTCACTATCACTATTTTCCATCATGACAGAATTGGGGGTTTTCAAGAATAGATAGGCCTGTTCGTTTGTATTGCTAAAGTTGCTAGAGTTCATTATTCTCCCATAGTTGTCTCTGTTCATGGCATGATGTAAACAAAGAAAGTCATAGAAAAAAATCAAGTTCAGCAAGTAGAGCAATGACAAATGAACAAGTCTGATAAGTATAGGTTACAGAAAGGTGCGAGCGTTTTTTCAATATTTCCGCTCACGAGCGCAAATGCTGTCAAAGAATGACATTTCTGGGAAAACGTCAACTTTGTGCTGGAATTTGAAAGGGTCAAATGCTACTTTGTTTAGCGTTTGTAGAAAAAAAATTTATCTACAACTATGGAGTCATTCATACATTGCTAACTCGATTTTCAACATTTGTGATAAATCGAATAATATATATATGCAGATGATACTGTACTTTTATACGAAAACAAAAACCCCATCATTCTAGAAAATATTATTGACGAAGATTTGAAAAAATTTGAAAAATGGCTTCATTCAAACATTTTATCAATTAACAATTAAAAATAAACAGAATATTAGTCTCAATCTCCAAATTAAAAATAAAGTATTGAAAAGAACTACACAAATAAAGTATCTTGGTATGTGGATTGATGAAAAATTGAAATGGGACAAACATATAGAGGTTCTGATACAAAAAATATCTCCGATCATTGGAGCTTTGCGAAGATGTCCTAAACTTGACAAAAAAGTCATAAACATAGTACTTCATTCTCATATACTCAGTCGTATTACCTATATGATAAACGTTTGGGGATCTTGTTCAAAAAATTATTTCAGTAAAATTTATGCACTTTATAAGAAAGCACTGAAAGTATTGTATCGCCTCTCATTTGATATCCCAACAAATGATCTGTATGCCTTAACAGAAAAATTTTCATTGGATGAATTATATAAAATAGATTCTTTTAAAGTTTCATATAATATAATAAACAATAATCTGAAATCCAATTTTATTTTGATAAGGAACTCAGAAATTCATGGTCATCACACGAGACAATCAAACTTATTTCATCTTGATTCTGCTACTTCTATAATTGGCCAAAAAAAATTTACTCACGCTGCTCTAGCTGAATTTAATAAATTACCACATAATTTTAAACAAAATTTAAAATTGAATTAAAAAACACATGATTTCATTATGAAATAGATAAAATTTATACTTTGCCATCTACTGATTAGTCCCTGTGGCTATTTTTATGACTTGATCGATTTAGCATTTTTAGATTTTTTTGATTTTTTTGTTGTTGTTGTCACCATATATTATTTTATTATTGTTGTTTGTAATCAACTTCCTCATACCAGAATTTTATTTCTGACTGGAAGCTAGTTTTTGAATAAACAATAAACAAACAATAGTTATTTATACACAAAGGTAGTAAAGAATATCATTATTAGCCAGGGACCAAACTTATATCCCGAGGCTTCAGCCGAGGGGTGAAAGGTCCCGTGGTAATAATATTATCTTTACTGCCAAGGTGTATATTAATCTTTTTTTACCACTAACAATATATTACTTCAATCATTTTAGTCTTGTGAAACCGAAGTATGGACTTATTGTTACTATAAAAGCACTATCTTCAATAACTAGCCATGACCATGACAGCATATTATGACAGGTGGTTATTGATAAATACCTACTAGATTCGAGTGCTATTTCTGCGCATCTCTGATTAGTGCATTCGAGTTAATTACAACCGAGGTGGCTATGTCTTTATCGACTATTGGTTCATAATATTACGAAAACTACCTTGGTAGTAAAAACACACTTTACGCCTCGAGAAGGAGTAAATAATGGTAGGTTTTATAGCTAGTGGTGGAAAAACAAATATTGTTCAATAGGACATTTATACAATTTCTGAATTCCTCTCTTGATACTGATTTAAATTTATTCATCATATCCTATACCTAAAATGAAACGTTTTTGTTATTCGAGTTTTTCTAGAAAAAGTGACAAATGCAGACGCCATTTCCATGATAATTATACCGGAAATCCCGGGGTCTTAGTGATATTTTCATACTGAGAATCCCGGGGGAAAAAATTATCATGAAGATACTCGTGAGTCAAATAAAACGTGTCTTGATAGTTTCAGAGGCAATAATTGATGAACAAGATGATGAGGAAGATATAATTCCGTTTGCGAGTCAAGCCTCACCGAATGAGTCACTGACTCAACCTCTACCTCGAACAAAAAAATGTTGAAAATAGCATTGGAAAAAAAAGCACCCAATTTGATTGCGTCTTGGAACAATATGATATCATCAATTTACCCTTTCCGAAAATGGTGACAACAGAGGTACATATCTTCAGCTGGCATATCATGATCTTCTAACAACTATACCACCAACTAGTGTAGAATATGAAAAAGTATTTTCCGCAGCTGGTACCATTTGCACAAAAATCAGCACTCAACTCGCAAATAATACCCTTCACGAGTGGACTTTTGTACGCTCCTGGTTCAGTCAACACTGTATGTATAGAAGTAATAAATGTTCGGCCTTTTTTCTCTTTACTTTTAGATGTATAAATTAAATATTTTATTCATATAGGATACAGCATACCCAATACTTTTTTCAGATTCTAATCCCGATACCGAAATCCCAGGTTGCCGGGTTGGTATTAATTTGATCCCGGATTCCCGGAATTGTACTATTACTCCAGGATTGCAAACCTTATCCATTATGAAGAATAAGTGAAGACTAAAACTAGGCTCATTTTTATAATGGAGAAGAGAAATTTAGATTGTCAATATGAAATATAAGGTTTTTAGTTGTATTCTACGAGTTTCCTTGAACCGTCCTTGCCAACTTCAGGATCATCCTTCTACTTTCAGTTCCACATAATTATAGATCTCGATAACTCCTGTATGTGACAGATTTTGAAAACAATTTGTGTTCATAGAATTGTAACATATGAGAAGTGTATTGTTCTCATTGAACAACTACAGAAACTATAGTTTCAGTTAGGTTATACAACAACTATCATATAATAGATCGTCATCATTATTTCCGAATGAAATTTCAGATTCTTTATAGTGGAGCTATAAACACAAAACAATTCGAGTCAATACAATGCAGAAGAAAACACTCACTTCCTCTGCAACATTAGTTCCTTTGTCCTTCAAAAGTGGAAATATGCTATCAGATAACAAATTCAATTTGTACTGTATCCTATGGACAGCTTCACTGCCCATACAAGAATTGGATTCGTTCAACATTATATGCCGAGTGCTTGGTGAAAATTTGTCCATCCATTGTCGATACCTGAAAACTTCAATTATCATACAAGGAAATAGCCATTAATGTCATGTCAACAGTGAATTAATACAAACGAGTCTTCTATCTATAAAACGAATGATCCAAACGATACAATGATTGTGATAATTGAACTGAGATTATGTTCTATTTATTATAGGTCGCGTGCACAGAATGTCAGATGACCGACCCTGGAGGTGAAACAATCTCACTAACCTCACTTTTTTTATTTGTTTGCATAGGATTGAAATAGTTTTTGTCAATAATTTTGGCAAACGAATCATGTTTCATCAAGCATGCCATCACATTGGTAAATTGTGATCTATTCGCGGGAATCAATGTTACCAGGTGACCCCCCGTTTTTTACCCTTCCATGTCAAAGCCATGTCGAAACTGGGGGAAAACAAACTCAATCCTCACTCAATACCATTGGTGCCATTAGCTTGAGTACTGTGTACTGATAAGAGTGATAAGTTTTTGAATTTCTTGACATTAATTGTCAATATTCGATCGAAAACGCTACTAATGCCAGTTGTAGATGTTCTTTTGGCAGATATTTTGCTCTATTTAGATGGAAAAAGCCGACCAGTAGTGGAAGGAGAAGCAGTTCTCCCTGCTAATCATGTGATTTTGTGTGAGGCAGAAGACTTCAACAAAAGGCACATTTTTGCACTTTGTCTACAAACTTCGGCGATGAAATCTTCCCCACATGAAGTAAAATTGAAGTTGGGGTACAGAGGAACTCCTGTAGAACAATGGATTTGTATTTGTATGCAAAGCAGGAAAATCTGGGCATTGTAAACATGTTGTAGCTGTTCTTTTATATGTCAATTGATTTGCTCGTCATAATTAGTTTGAATTGTTTGAACTATCTCCAATTATTCACCCGTTCACTGTTCACTAAACTAATAAAAATGTAATAATGTAAAAAAATTAACCAACTCAACCATCATCACTACCAACAGTGCCAACACTTTATGTCATTGACAAGTTTGACTACAGCTACGCTACAGCAAGCTGAATGCAATATAGTCTAAGCACTTCATCCATAGACAACAGTTTGTTTTCCCCCAGTTTGAAGTTCGTATTATGTAACTTAGATGTTGCCCTCTTCGTGAATCTCGCGAATAAGTACTGTAGTCCCTGTGAGTTACTCACATATAGTTTTCATTTTAAAATGTTGATACATCTCTTTGGAGTTTCTGTGTGAAAAAGGACCTAATACAGTAAAAATGTCTACAACATACACGAGCATAGTCATTTCTGCCATTTCTCTTTAGAATTACTTGAATGTCTACAACACACACGACCATATTTCATCAGTATTTCAGACCACTCTTCCCTCTTTTTGCCTTCTTTTAGAAACTTTACAAGTCGTTTTATTAGCTCCAATTGCAGAAGGAATTTTAAATGTGAGTGACTAGGTATAGTACTTATATATCACAATTTAACTGAGAAATCTTTATTCCTTCATCTCTCGCTGCATTTTTTTTGCATTGTACAGGGTGGGCCCAATTGAACACTTTCAAAGGGAAACTCCTATTACCGTAGTAGATAGAAAAAAACTGATGTTGGTGCCTGTTGACCAATTCACATAACAAACTCAATGGTGAAAACTGAATATCGATATCTATCTTCGTTTCAGAGTTACAAGGTGATTTTCGAAAATATGAATTTTCAAAAAGTGGCTGAAACTCATTTTTTTGTCAAGAATTCTTCGTTTCCATAAAAACATTTCCAAAGCATTTTATTTTTCATGAAACTTGATCCTCAGGCACTGAAATCAGTCACCATATACCTAGTTTCGAAATAGAACTTTTTCTTCAAGAAGATCAAGTATTCTTGAACAAGATATAGGAAGGTCGATTTCAGTGCGCCAGGAATGATTGTTATCACAAACTCAATGCTTTGCAGTTATTTTCATGAGAACATATAATTTTTGACAAAACAAATATTTGTAGCCACTTTTCAAAAATGCCCATTTTCGAAGAACACCTTGTAACACCGAAACGAAGACAGATTCCATTAAAAGTGACCAATGTGCTGTCATGCTTGAATAACTATCCCAAGAAACACGATTCGTATGCCAAAATTATTGTGAAGAACTATTTCAATCCTATGTAAACAAATGAAAAAGTGAGAGTCGGTCATCTGACATTTTGTGCACGTGACCTATCAAGTTTGGAGCAAGTTTGACAGATAACCAATGCTGGAAGTAGGATGTGGACAGTAGAGTGCTTCGAATATCTCATTATTTGCTCTGTAAAGAGTGTGGACACGCTTGTCACCACTGACATTTCCAAATTGTCATCATTATCAGATTTGAAACATCAGTTTTGAGTAGGGCTTCGAGAGACCAAGACCAAGACCAAGACCAAGACCAAGACTGATCAGTCTTGGTCTTGGTCTCTAAAAATAAATGTAGTCTTGGTCTTGGTATTGGTCTTGATATTTCAAGACCAAGACGAGACTGGCTCAGTCTTGGTCTTGGATCAATTTCCGTCTAGAAATTTGAATTATGCAATTGAAATATCCAACAGTTTGTATTCATAAAATAGGTATTTCGTATTTCTCAGTCTTTAAAATTGTCAATTTGTGAGTATAAAAGTAAGCGAAATAAATTTCTCCTTTTACCATAAGAATATAATTTTTAAGAAACCTTGAATAAACATTAAATGAGACCCAAACAGCAAACAGGCCGACGCCCGACAGGCCAGAAAAAAGGTTCAAAAGGGTCGGAACTGACAATGCATTATCAAAATATTTCGAAAAATTTCAAATTCAAACCAAATAACTTTTGTATTGAATTTGTTTCTATCTTCAATAGAACCACTGTGACCTTACAACATACACCTATTTGTTGTGAACTTTAAAACTGCAATACTGAATTTGAAAAATGTATTTCGGATTTTGAGTGAACAAAAATTAAAAACTTACCATATGACAAATGAATAACTGAAATAAAATGCCATTACATTTTCCATCAGATTTTTTTTAATATTGAGTAGATTTGAGTTCATTATTTTTCTTTCGAGACCAAGACTGGGCTCTTGGTCTCGCGAAGCCCTAGATTTGAGAATTGAATAGGCGTCTCCGCGAAAATGTTTTTGAATATATCTTGTTCGGCAACGTATTGCAAAAATTCTAAGGCCCGGTTGTAGTTGCCTAGTTCAACCACAGTTCAACTGTTATTCTGTCTTTAACCAACTACAAATCGTTCATCCGGAAGGAGAGAGTTACCCCTTTTCGGCCAATAAAAGTGAGGACCTAACTTACAGCTTGGAGGGGGTGAATTTTAGAACACATGTTTATATGAAGAAAATGTCTTATTTCGATCCCAACAATATGTCCTTGAAATATTTACATCGAATTTTGAATCACCCTGAATACCAACATAATATACAGTGTGCCTAACTTGTAATGGAAGCATTCCTGTATCTGTCGTAATTGTTGAATTAGGATTCTAAAATTTGCAGGAGCGAGAAATATACCGAAAATTTTGGATTTGAAATCAGGACGTCCAATTCCATAACTATATATATTTTTCCTGGAAAATTTTCAGTTCGGAAAAATTAAATTCACATGATTCGCTAGCGAATCATATGTACTGATAATGTAAGATGTATGGATATCCGTTAATTGTTTTTTTTTTCATGAAAAATTGAAAATTTGATTTCCAAATACCGACTTTGAAAGTTAATGAAATGAAATCTGACAATCTTCAGGTTTTTTATTTTATTTTTCAGGATAACAGCGTAATTTTGTTCAGTTTGCGAAATGGCATATTGAACAGATCCCAATCACATATTATTTTTCTAATTCAATCATCTGTCCCTCTGTTGCCGTTCAAGGAATAGCAATATTTGTCAGAGCTCAAAATAATATTCAAGAACTCCAAGACATTGTAGTGGCATATTGACTGAATCAGATCGTTGTTGAAACGTTTTTGTGTGAATAACTAGGTACTACATTTTTCTTTCTTTCTGACAACAAATACTATTGAATGAAAGAAAAATAAGGATCTTTTTTTTCATCTGTAAAACTTGGATCGAACCTATTATCACGTAAGCTCAACATGGAGAACGAGGTCAATCAGTCCCTATCTTACCAACTTCAGTCTTATCTGGAACAAACTACAATACCAATTACCTTGCGTCATCACAAACTTCTTTTGGCGTGAAATGTACAACTAAACACGCAACTTCATCATCATGTGTGGCAGAACTCTGATGTTTTTTCATCGCCGCATTATTCACCAGAGAATCCAAGTAGGCGACTGTAGGGCACTCTAAAACTGAAATACAAGAGCTTATGTCATAGATTGTTGTGTTGTTCAGACTAGTGCTTCAAAGATCTTCGACATATTATACTTCTACACTTTTTGTTCTCTTGTAATTTGATATTCAAGACTGCAAATACCCAATTCTCATAGAACAACAGTTTGTAGAAAGCGTATACAGACGCCAAATGTTGGTACACCCTCCTCGTGAGGGTACCTATTGTGTTTCCAAAAAGGAAAAAATCTACTACTCCATCGACTATCTCTTACTAAAATTGGTTCAGTATACTAACAGAACCCATCAATAAAATGGATATAGATAATAAGCGACTTAAGAGCCGAATTATATTATGTGAAAATAAATTCTGAGTACTCACTCTGATTGTTACACTTATATGACAGTTAAATGAAATCAAGTTGATCTTCAGGCTGTCCCATTTTCGATGTTCTTACGGGTTCTCTCACTTATTTTCGAGTATAGCTTTGCGTTTTTCGTTGGTCGTTTCCAGTAAAACCGGAAGTGATAGAACGAAAATTGTTCCGTCAATTAATGAGCAATTTGGTATACTAGCTGCCCACCAATTTTCAGAACCATCGAAAACTATTCATAAAATAAATACTAACTACATGAAAACAACAGTCAAACTTATTCCTAATAACCAGTTTCACAATTACTCAACAAGAGCGGCAAAGAATTTACGGCCAAATAGATTCAAATCTACCAGAACTAAAACTCAATAACTTGCGCTGTTGATCATTATAATAACCTACCAACTGAACTAAGAAATAATCATAGTATGAAATCATTCAGAAAGCAGTTGTTTGATTTCATTCTGAATAATGACCTGATTTGACAATTTGTGTTGTAATAGGGATATGTTTCAAGTCAATTGGTCCGATTCTCTAAGAAGTGTTTAATAGGGTGGCTAAATTAGTTGTTATCAAGTTGTTATTAAGAACTTTTTTAACCACCTCAGATTTTTCACTATTGGCATAATATTTGGTATTCTATAAAAACAACATTTATCAATGTGGTTAGTTTATTACATTTCCACCTCAGTAGTATAAATAAAGCTGTGAAGGTAGTCATTAATCTACTATTTCTTTGATTATTGTTATATTCCTGCCTTTTTAACGTCTATTTAACCTAACAATTGATATATTCTACAAGCACTTGGTTGGGAAATTGCTGCATTAGAATCCGTCCCCCTGATAGGGGGGACGTACATGTAAATGTAAAGCACCAAGTATCTGAAATACTAGGCATTAGTTACAAATATTCTCTATCTAAACTGATATATTAGAAAACCTCAACTGAGATTCATTTTTACATGTAGTAAAATGAAAGTAGCCAACCAACGTCTTTCGTCTGTGGTTCTATTAATGGTATAAAACCAATACTTTGGGCATGTGATAAATTTTCCGAAATTTAAGGATGGATTTGTTGAATTCCTCGAAATTCTATTGATTTATGCTATCCTTTTAGTGAAATAGGTGATTCTTTTGTTTTCACGAATAATTGGGTAGGTATTTCTTGTCATAGAATTATCTCTCTTGCATTATGGTGGAACAAGGCGCCGGGAATGAGACAGGCCAAAGAGTTCATTAAAGAACCATTGCCAAAATTCACGGAGTACCTACTAAGCCAGAATAGGAGAACAACAAGGATCTTGGTTGGGCTCCTGACAGGGCACTGTAGACTCAACAAACACATGAACAACATCGGATTGGCGGACACAACCATATGCAGGTTTTGCCAAGAAGATGAGGAAACATCAGCACACATACTGTGCTACTGCGAAGGCCTGACTAGGCTAAGGTTTTCGACGATAGGGGAGGAAAAACCACAGCCCTCTCAATATATGGAGGACCTGAGGTCTGGCCTATGGAGTCTAGTAATAAGGATGGGTTTAGACAAGGAACTCTAACATAACATGAGGGCACACACAATAGATCTGTAAAGGTCGCAGTGGAGAGGCTCCTAATAGCACATGAGCCCCATATCAATCTAATCTAATCTCTTGCATTAACATATGAACAACATTTCCTTGAAATAGTGCCACATTTTTTTATGAGCCATTCCACAAATCACCAGAAAAAGCTGGTGGATATCTGCCACAATAAAAAGTGTATAAAACATGAAAGTTGTTAATTTATTATCCATTTATGCCTTAGAGAATCAGAAAATCTGTGAGTGGTTCAAATAGCCACTGACCTTCATATTAACCACCCGAAGGACAGTTGTTAAAATAACCACGCTCTTAGTGAATCGGACCGAATGTATCACTTTTAAAAATAGTATGACACATCAATGAATTATGGCATCCTGTACAAGCTCTCTGTTTTGTGGATCTGATTATGTGAAATAAAAAAAAATTAATAAAGAGTTTTGCTCACCAATAAACACCGGTCCAGGGTCATCAGGCTCGCAAACCTCCCTGGAACACACTTTCACCCCACTAGCCAAAACGACGTCCTCTCCGGCCTTCAGCCTGCCCAAAAGCGGCCCTGGAGGCACGCCCATCTTGACGCACTGCTCCAGATTCAAAGCCCCCGGCCTGGGCTGCAGTCGACAGATATAGGCCACCGAGACCCCCATTTCTTTATTCAAGCGGAGGGTAGCTTGTGACGTAGGGGAAACTATCTCCGGGACGGTGCGACTGCCGCTCTCTGAATACACACAAGAAAGAAATTATTCGATAATAGATAGATAGATATTTTATCTATACTAGAGTTCCTAAATGTACTCGACACTGCTGTGTTGACGTTTTTTGTATATTAGAGTACGGACACTATGACAAGCACTGATAATCAGACATAGCCACAAATAAATTGATGGAAAAAGCGGGAACTGACAGTACACGGACGTACATGACATAAATTTCAAAGGTTTGACAAATTCATCGGATAACGTAATTCTACAAAAATGGAAACAGAATAATATATTATTTGGCCGGCATGGAATATAGGTTCAGGCCACAAAATTTGCGAGGTATTCTAATTTCTTGCTAGGATATAGAACATTTTTCAACGCATTTTTATAAGGTGAACTTCAGAACGGAAGATTTGATGTTGAAGAATACGATCGTACTGAGAGAGAGAGCCGAACCCACAATTTATAAACTGAGCGAGTATCGAAAAGAACCGTCCAATTTAGAAACAACAAGGAACGAAAAACTTGCAGATAATGGAATTCATTTCGAACATATTTTGAAAGAAACAGACTTGAGAATCGAATTTTTAGAGCAGGAATATTCAAAAATCCAAGGTTGGCCGATAATGAATAGTTTTGACACAAAAAATGCTAAAGTTGATAAATCTCGATTTTGAACGCCCTATATCTCTGTAATCTTCTTCGATAGACATCGATACAATTAGCTCTTCAGGGAGAATCGAAAGATGCCATAAAATGCAGGTTGTTCCATTTGAAATATCAATGTTGATACTATTTTCTAGTAAAAGCGGCAACACTGCAATGTCGAAAATATTTCAAATGAAGAGAGCGTATTCTAAAATATAAGCGTGCATATTTTCATGGATTTCTCCCGACTGATTCTCAATATGAAAATAGTGTAAGCAGGTCGTGACATACCCTGTAGAGTAAATAACAGTAGATAGACATCGAAATTCGTTCATAAATCCTTGAGAAGTATACGCCAACAATCCTAAACGCGAAACACGGATAAATGAATGAAATGGCGAATGGTGGGGATACCTATATGGAATAATTGCCAGAGAATTGATATCCTTCATAGAAATATCTTATATATCTAATGAATCGGAATTACCATGAATGTTTGTAAGTGCATTAATAAAATTGAGTGTCACGTGTTGCGACATAAAAATAAGTAATTTTGTAACGTCTTGATAATGTTATTTTACATTTTGAATCATCTTAACAAATGCATGCGCCATCAAACGAGACCGCCACTGGTCCCAATTTGTACGTACTTGGAAAATTTCAGGTTAGGATATTTATAATCAACTTTTCTTTACAGATTTGACACTGTCGAACCATAGGTAATTATTCATGAAATAGAATTTTCTAGATTTATTATATTGATTGAGTTAATGAAACACCGAAAGCTGGTCGCATAAAAGCGGGAAAAACATTGATAAAAACAAAAACCACAACCGACATATCTTACAATGATTATTGTTCGTCTACTACGAAATTTTGCGATGCTGCCACGTTCATCTATGAATAGTATGAATAGTTTATATTTGGCGCCATATGAATTGGCGAGCGGAAAACGCTATGAATGCGATCGCAACTGATTTAGTGGCGAAATAATTGTACAAGAGGAACTAACGAGATAGGAATAAAAGGAAAAAGGGAATATAAGGAAAATGGAATACCAATACTCAGGGACCGCGATCTTCTTCTCTTTGATTTACTGAATCTCTTACGTTCATGTGCATAATAATCTGTATCGTCCTCGATTGCTTTATCACTAGAAGTTGACCTTGAGGAACTCCGTCTTCTTCGGCGATTTTTTTCGCTTCTAGTTGAAGTAGAAGCGTCTTCCTGAAAACGAGTAAGTTTGGTTCTTTCATTGCGGTTCATTTTTTTATAGATAATATTAGGAACCAGATAACGGAAAGTATGCTTTCACCCAATCAAGGGGTTCAAAGTTGAACGACCTTCAATCGCAGATTCGTGATTAGGTTTTCTCAATTTAGAATTTCTTTTGACGTCCTGTATGATGAATATCAATTTGTCATACATCCAAGAACAAAAACCAAATGACATGTATTGTCATATAAGTCATATAACCTGTTTGTGAGAGATATAATTCCCATATAACTGATATAGTACCAATATATTAATTATAAATATTTGGACTGATAAATGTAAACAGGCTGTTTCTAAACTTATAGGGATGATTACATCGGAACCTATTTTAAAAATTGCAGATCCTACCGACTGCACCATTGTAACAATAATTAACTGATGTAGAATATTTCCAACAGTATTTTATTCATGCAAGTTTCATTGATAATTAATACATTGATACTATCTTGTAGTCATCACTATCCAACATCACGTCAATACAATATAATATATTGAGGGTTATTATAAACTTCTATGGGTTTTGTAGGCGTAGAACTTTATAATAACCCCCAATATATAATATTGCATTGACGTGATGTTGGATAGTGATGACAACAAGATAGTATCAATATATTAATTATAAATGAAACTTCATTTGGACTGATAAATGTGAAGAGGATTTTTAAACTTATAGGGATGATTACATGGGAACCTATTTTATAAATTGCAGATCCTACCGACTGCGCCATTGTAACAATAATTAACTGATGTAGAATAATTTCAACAGTATTTTATTCATACAAGTTTCATTCATAATCAATACATTGATACTATCTTGTAGTCATCACTATCCAACATCACGTCAATACAATATTAATATATTGAGAGTTATTATAATATTGTATTGGCGTGATGTTGGATAGTGATGACTACAAGATAGTATCAATATATTGATTATGAATGAAACTTTATATGGACTGATAAATGTGAAGAGGATTGGTGATAAGGTGGTATATTGATTTTACTTGATTCTTTGGGATTTTCTCTCCTCGTTTCTATAAAATAAAAATATTCGTTTTATTTCAATATATTTGTAGTGGGACAAATCAGATGATTTGCCCCAAAATGTCACTGCGTTTAACAAATTTTTCTATCAGGGAGTCTAAAAGAAAAATCCAGTAGCTTGTCAGTGACAATTTGTTTGAAAAAATGTTTGAAGGAAAGAAATATAGATATATTGAAAAAATATCGAATTTTTACTTATCTTTGGACGTTTCGGGACCGAATCTGCTCCCGTTCTCAACATATTCAATATTTTTCTTCGATAGTTTTGCTGCTTTTAGTTTGACACTTTTCAGTGTCATACTGATGTTGGCATATGAATGAGTGATTTTAGTCTACAAATGAGTTACATGATGTTTTTATTAATTGATCTTGAATCTACCATTTTCATGTTCAGTTTTCAGTTGAACAGTTAGCTGGAAGTCTAGTCTAACTCTTCTCCGTCCTACCAATGGTCTCATTTTGTACCATATGGGCATGTGCTTTTTAAAATTTTTCAGATGACCTTCAACTTTTTTATACTCCATATAAAAAAAAAAGAATTTCAGGGTGAGTTACTCTTGCATTTCCTCTACATAACTCAAACCTCCATCAAGTTATTCAATAAAAATCAACATTCAACACCTATATTTGCATCCAGCCAATCTAGGGTTGCTTGTTGATCTGAGGGTTTCAGTTAGAAGAAAATTTAATATTTTTGACCCTCACATAGATTACCTGGTATATTTAAGAATGAGATTTTGTGCCTTCTTGGGATCATAAGTCAATGGGTGATATTCTGAAAAAGTCAAGCAAATTGTACCTACCTGTTGGACAGTTGCTTCAACTTCTGAGTCTTTGAATCCATATGTATCTTCTGGTTGTGGATCAGAAATAACATCACTTTTCATCAAATGTACATACTCAACCCTGAGTACATTATCCTCAAACACATTTTGTTCACTACAATCTGCCATATTTATTTTGAGGTCTCTAATAACAACAAAACGTTTTGTTGCCACGAAAATTTCACCCTATGAAAACATGGAAATGAAATGATTAATGAATGGATTCACTTGATTTTCGGAGTTGGAGTTGACAAAAATATAGAGGTGTGGAAATGTGTCAAATGGAAGGCAGAAAACTTGTACCTACCATTAGAGTTCCTAAATGTTCTTGACACTGCTGTTTTGACGTCTTTTGTATATTAGAGTACGGACACTAGACAAGCAGTGACAATCAAACATAACCACAAACGATTTTGAAGCAAATCATATGTTTTGCGAGACAAGGACAAGAATATGTTTTTCGCTTTGATAAAGGATCCTCGCATCTTCCATCCTCCACAAGTCCTGGGAAGAGTACATCCATATATCTTTCTCTGTCTTTGATTTTTGTATAAGAGGGCATAGCGTCTCCTCGAGTGGGTAAAAGGGTACGATAAATTGATTAGAAAATTATTTCTTCTCGAAATATTGAATGATAAGGCTGAAGGACCTCAATGGAGGTCGATATCAAGTTAGTAGGTAGGTACATAATATACATCAAAGAAATACATAATATAGTATTCCTATGAAATTAGTCTCTTATATGTAGGTATATAAATTCGTTCAGTTGAATATTTTTGTTCATCGCAAAAGTAAGTTCAGAATGGGGTAAAAACTGATAAATTTCAAGAAACATACTTTTATTAGTACAAGAGTGGTAAGTTATAAGTAATTAATAAATAAACAAATGATATGGCAACAATAACAGCTGATCTCAGTTAGGATAAATAATATAAGACATACGGAAGTAGGTATAAATGGACTTCAGCGCTCGACTCACTATATATCGCCGTTCACATTGCTAAAGGGGATTGTTGGTTGAACCCGGCCATCGGAAGATAATTTTCAATACCTAACATAAATGGTGCACTTGTAAAGCGTTCTTGTTCTGTGCTCTGATAATATCTTGCTCGTGTCTTGGTACCCAAGAAGTGGTTCAAAATCCACTAGGAGCTATGTAGTCGTCTAGCACTTCTCAACTACGCATGAACATGCACATTCAGAATTGGGATTTCAACTTTGAAGAAGTGATACACGAACAATATATTCAACTCTTTGATATAGATACATCAATATCTGGTACATCAGAGTTCCACAAAGTGACTATATGTTTCACAAAATTATTATAAGAGTTCGTATACGAAGATGATCTAAAGAATTCTTGGTTGAACAGGGATGTGACATCAGTTTTTAGTCAGTCAATTCAGGAAGTTTCTTCTATTTCACCATCAGATTATCGACCATGATCTCCATGGTGGCTATTGTGATCTCTGCTCCATCATTCCATCACAAGCAATAACCAGAGTCTAAATTGGAATAAGGTTCTTTTCGATACTCGCTCAGTTTATAAATTGTGGGTTCGGCTCTTTCTCTCAATACGATCCTATTCTTCAACTTCCTACCAAGAAATTTAAATACCTCGCAAATTTTGTGGCCTGAACCCATATTCCATGCCGGCTGCATCATATTCTGTTTCCATTTTTGTAGAATTACGTTATCCGATGGAAATTCGAATAGAGTGAATTGATTTCCCGTGTTCTCACAGTTGGAAACTGCACAAACTTGCATCTTTCTCCTAATTCTCTCAATTTGTCAAACCTTTGAAATTTATGTCATGTACGTCCGTGTACTGTCAGTTCCCGCTTTTTCCATCAATTTATTTGTGGTTATGTCTGATTGTCAGTGTTTGTCATAGTGTCCGTACTCTGATATACAAAAAACTTCAAAATCAGCAGTGTCAAGTACATTTAGGAATTCTACCTACCATGAAAAATATAACAACTGTATTCACAGAAAACAAATCAATTACAGTTATCAAGGGTTTTATTTATCTTCAAAACATTGAGAGCTATGGAATCAGTTGAATTATTGTATATTTTAGTTGAAAGACACCTTTTTAGATGGCAGTTTATAAACATTGTCAGTAGGTATTGCCAAACTGTTGTTGATTTCTGCAATTTTGGGAAATAATCTGAATTTGTGCAAAAACAGTTACTCAAGTAAATTGAAGTTGCATATTTCCATCACATTGAACAATTGAAAATAACACTTTCTGGCCCTTTATGTTACTTCAGTATCTGGCTTGGTTTCTGAGGAATCTATAAAAATCTGATTTTAAATTCTGAATGTATGTAGGTCTCTCATGGCACCATGGAAGCTAATACAGGGAGAGCATAAAAACAATTAATACTTCCAACTTCAACATACTGTATCTAATAAATTACGAGACATCTTTGGAGACATGTTCATATAAACTTAATTTCCTAAAAAGTGACAAGGAATCACCATCTGTATTTTTCGCACTCATTCATTCACACCCTGTATAAAAAACATCAAATCCATGATATTACTCTAGTGATAACTCAATTTTTCACACAACATTTCCTGATATCTCAAGAATCACTCAAATTTGCAATATCAACATCATCAATGACATTAATACTTGATAATTCAATGAACTTCATGAGATATAGTTATCCTAAGTTGAAATCTAGTTCTCACCATGGTGGAGACATTATCAATAATAATAAATCAAATTGATAATTCTTCAGTCTAAGTAGAATTTTTGAAGCAATAACAAGAATAATTATTATTTCAAAGAGTAATAATTGATTGTGGAATGGAATGCTTCTCATATGATGACCAGAAATTTACAATAATGAAAGAAAAGAAAGACTTTGTCATTCACTAATTTTTATTGAACAATTTTGATGAATTGAAAAGTAAATGAAATTACTTCTGAATACTTGAGAATAATGCATTGATACATTTTTTGTTTCAATTTTAATATCAGTGATTTTTTTTTCAAATGGAAAAAATTGTTTCATATTTTTTCTGAATCAGAAGTTATACAATATTATACAGGGTGGCATTGAAATAAGTGCAAATATTTCAAACACTGAGAAAGCCACACCTGTAATATCAAATGGCACTAATAAAAAAAATTAGGGATCAAAATAAAATTTGAGGTTAGACCCCTTTTTCCACCCAAAGTTTCTACATTGTAGCAAATCTGATGTCACCTCTGTTCAAATTTCCATGTAGTATGCACAATGATGCAGAGTTCAATCATTTAAATTATTTTAAAATGGTGTACCTCCTTGATTTTTTTCTAGTATTTTGCTCAATTTTTGGGATTAAATTTATTGTTAATTAGAGGAATTAGAAAATATCTGATATCATGGAAATATTCCTTAGACTGATTCAGAAGAAGAAGAAGATGGTCGATAAACATGTATGTGCAAAGTGTTGTCAAAAAATCACTAAAAACCATTGGACTGTTGGATGCAGTGGTACGTGCAGTAGATGGTTCCATAAAAAATGTGTCCAAGTACCCGAAAAACTATTTAAAGCAATGGTAGATGGTGATCCAAAGGCAGAATGGTTTTGTGAAAAATGCAATGCAAAAGAGGTTAGCTCAAGTGAGGAAGGGGAAGACGGGGAGAGTACAATCTTGGCGCCAAGTTCAAAATCTCGAAAAGTGCGATACCCGACCCAGCCAGACAATCCGGAATCCAAACCCAGCGATGTTGCTCAATCCATCAGCGACCTCAAGAACTTTTTCATTCATAAATTCGACAGCTTAGAAGAATCTCTCAAATTCAATGGGAAAATAATGGAAGACCTAACCAAAGAAATTAAAAAAGTTCAAGAAGAAAACAAAACACTGAAAAAAGAAAACACAAAACTGAAGGAAAAACAAACAGAGATGGAAAAAGACTTACATTACATCAAAACCAAGCTGAACCAAGAGGAACAAAGAAAACTCAAAAACTCAATGGAAATTAGTGGGATTCCTCCAGCACCAGACCACAAACAAACTATTCTAAAAATTGGAGCCCTGATGAAGATTCCATTGCAAGAAAATGATATACTAAATGTGAGGAAAACTTATATAAAAACCGGAGGAATCAACAGTATAACAGTAGACTTTCGCAATGCTATAACTAGAGAAAAACTACTTACCCAATGTAAAGAAAATATTAGAAAAAAAGAATTTCTTGATACAAATAAAATTGGCATACCAGGTGAAAAAAAAATTGTGTACCTCAATGAGGCTCTGACTCCTGAAACAAGGTATCTATTCAGTCAGGCAAAGAAATTAAAACAAAGAAACTATAAATATGTTTGGATGAAGGATGGAGTGGTTTATGTCCGGAAATCAGAGGTAGACAGAGCCATACGGATAAGATTCATAGAGGATGTACTCAAACTTGAAGAGTAAACATGTGCAAAGTTCCCAGTAATATTCTTATAAACTGCTACTAGCCCAGATGAATAACATAGTACCTGAAGTAAATTACGTTGGCTGTATAAAAGACTACAATGATAACTATTATAATCTAATATCTAAAGATAATGTAAACATTCTATATATGAATGGTAGATCAATAAGAAACAAACTAGAGGAGATTGAAATTGTAACACATTCCTTTGAAAATAAAATACATGTCATAGCTATCACAGAAACCTGGTTGGGAGTCGAAGAAGAAGAATTTTATAATATTCCAAACTACAAAGCCCTATACCTAAGTAGAGAAAAAAGAGGTGGTGGTTCCTGCATCTATATTGATGATACTATAACTACAAAAACTGTTAATACATTGAACTTGGATGTCACAATTCAAACTATTCATCTATGTGACCTCAAACTAAACATAAGTGTTGTTTATAAACCTCCAAACTTTAACAATGACGACTTTCCGACTGTGCTTGATGAAAAACTCAGTGAAATCTCTGGTTCAACAATTCTTATTGGTGACTTTAACATTAACATTCTTAAAGATAGTGTGATAGCTACATCACTAGTGGATATCTATGCAATGAATGGATATCACCTCTTAAATAACTCAATACCTACTCGTGTCACATCAGAGTCTGCTAATCTTATTGACCATGCTCTGTCAAACAACCCCAGTATCATACAGAGCACTTCTGTAATAGAGTGCAGCCTCAGTGACCATAGACTTCAACTTATAAGCCTGAAGGGGGTGAATAAAAAAACACAAAAAAACACTTGCAAGTATCATGTGATAAATGAGCTAGACCATGATCAGGTTCTTCTTAGACTGAATGATATCATAAGCAAGATACATGGATATCAAGACACTCAACAACTATATGATGAACTCAAAACTGCCTTTCAAGATAGTTTCTCTGTGAAGGTTTTCAAGAACAAAAAGATAGGCAATGCGCCATGGATGAATGCTAAGATATTGGAGATGATGAACAAGAGGGATAAATGTTATAAACAAACCTGCAAGTACCCAAATAGTGTCCTACACCACAATCAGTACATACATCATAAGAAACAAGTTACCAGAGAAGTCATCAAACTGAAAAAATCTCACTTCTACCAACAAATTCAACAAGCTGGTAACGACACAAAAAGAACGTGGGCAGTTCTGAACACAGCACTGTTTAATAAAAATAAAAACAAAAACCCTAGTATCTCAACTTTAAAGCAGGGCCATGACACTTCATCAGATCCCAGAGAGATTGCAAATATACTCAATGACTTTTTCATCAATGTAGGTCCTGAGCTCTCAAATGCACTACCTCCAACCCCATTCATACCAGAAGAACATAACTGGGCAGAATCCATCTTTCTCTACCCCACTACACCTGAGGAAATCAAAGACATTATAAATAATCTTGACCCAAATAAAGCAAGTGGCTTCGACAATATCACAGTGAAACATATTAAACACTTCAAGGAAGAATGCTCCATTATTTTATGTAAACTGTTCAACATGACATTTGATAATGGCTATCTACCAACAGATTTGAAAATGGGGAAAGTGAGTGCAATCTTCAAGAATGGTGACCCTGAACAACCTTCAAATTATAGACCTATCACAGTATTAACAGTGTTCGCTAGATTACTGGAATTCTGCATGAACAAACGCCTAACAAAATTCCTGGACCAAAAGAACTTTTTATATGAAGGCCAATATGGCTTTCGTAAGTCAAGTGACACAGAAATTGCGGCAATTGACTTAATATCAGATATCCAAATGAAGATTGATGAAGGCTATGTGTGTGCCATGGTGTCGCTTGACCTACGAAAGGCATTTGATACTGTTGATCACCCCATACTGTTGACTAAACTAGAAAACCTTGGGGTTAGAGGAAAGGCTTTGGATTGGTTCTGTAATTACTTATCAGGTAGGGAGCAATTTGTGACAGTCGATAATTTTCGTAGTAACACACGATCAATTTGTTGTGGTGTCCCACAAGGTTCCATTCTTGGCCCTACCTTATTTCTGATATATATCAACGCTTTCAGTAAAATACATCTTGAAGGAACAGTGAAGCTGTATGCTGATGATACCACATTAGTATATCATTCAAAAAGTAAAGAATCTATTCATCTCTCAATTGCAAATGATCTAGCAGCTATTCAAAATATGTTGAACTCTCACAAGCTCACCCTCAACATTGATAAATCTAGTTATATCTATATTAGTAAGTCACGAAGCAAGGAAGTCAACCCAATCGATTTTGGCAATTTTCAGTTGATGTATAATCACACAGTAAAATATCTTGGTCTTCTGATAGATGAAACACTATCATTCAATGCACATGTCTTAGCACTAAGAAAAAAAATCTCATCGTTTATAGGAGTATTATACAAAATAAAGCAGTACTTCTCAGTATCTCACTGCAAGCTACTATACTTTTCCCATATCTATTCTAGAATACAATATCTAGCTTCAATATGGGGCTCTACTGGAAGTGGAATATTGAATCCCTTGAAAATTTTACAAAACAGGGCCATAAAAAATATCTACTCCCTACCTCGCCTAACTCCAACCACTGAACTTTACTCTCCAAGAGGTTTTCTCTCAGTAGACAATATCTACTACTTCAAAACCAGCATCTACATTCATGCAATATTAAATAAAAGTAAACACACGATCACACTATTTAGATCAACTCAAGATGTTCATGCACACTCTACAAGAAACTGTACAAATATTTACATCCCATCCATCAGATCCAAATATGGAATGAACTCCATCCATTATAAAGGTATAAAATATTATAATGAATTGCCAGGACAAATAAAAAATCTCCCCTTTCATAAATTCCGAACGGAATTAAAAAAACTGATTCTAGGTAAATAAATAAATAAAAACCAACCCTTTCATTCTAATTTCTTTTCTTATTGTTCACTATTATTAATACATATAAGTTATGGGTACTCTAATTCATATGTCTTCATCTTGTGCAATCCATGTACTACTTAGCCTGTGTACTATAGTATGTATAATTATCATGTATATTCAACTGTTTTTTGTTTTTTGTTATTATTATTATTGTTATTGCTATCATCATTATTATTATTATTATTACTAGCACTCTTCAGCTTTCTTTCTTTGTTCTTAGCATAGAAAAATGTATATTTTTTTCTAATTAGAACAAATAAAACACTTGAAAAAAAATATTAATGTGCTGAATATGAGCACTTATAACACCTTGTATTCATGATCATGCAGAAATAAATTAGGAAAATGAAATTAATGTTCCCTCATAATTCCCTTCATCAGAAAAGTATGAGGTAAATAAAACTCTGAACTGTGTGAGAATAATTGATGAATGTACCAGCCCAATTGTAGTTCACCATACACTTGTAATCTTTATGCATTTCTTGCTAACAAAATCAGCAAGAATATGGATAGGCATATTTCAACAAAACAATCAGTACCTGAAGATGAAATTTTGAATCAAGATCATACAACAAATAATAATAAACTTAGGCTTGAAGTATTATCATCAGTCAGTCACCTTAAATAGATCATAATATTCAATACAATATTTTTATGGAGAGGAATGGAAGTAATAAATGAAAAATTGGAATATTGACATATTGTGCAATATTTAGAAATATCTGATGTTAGTTGTTAAAAGGTTTCAAAGAAATCAGGAAAACAAGAACAAAAAGAATATTTAAATGATATACAAACCAGACCAGGTGGACCATGTAAAGTTATTTCAGGGACACCCACATCCTGTATAGTCAATGCAGTCCCTGGTAAGCCTCCCATATTCCTCCATGCAGACTGCGTTATGAATATGTGTTCCAATTTGGCCAATTTCATCTTATGTTCATGGGCAAGTCTTTGGGTTCCCTCCCCACAATTAAATAAATATCTATAACAAAACATACAAACAGTCAATGTTACAATAATTGATTATTTCCACTAATATATTGTGTGTAAACGTTAAGCAAAACTTCATAATAATAATAGAATATTAATATTTACCTAGTCTGGTCTGAAAATAAGTACAAGGCTCTAGGTGCTCCTTTTGCTCCTGTACCCAGAACTTGCAGGGTCACTTTGCCTGGAACATACCTCGATAGCTTTTCTTTGATTTTCCTCCTTTGCTTTTGTGCTTCAGCAATATGTTTTGGTTCTTTGGGCATGATTTTCAAAATGTTAAGTAGCTCTTTATTGTGTTTGCTTGAATAATGCCTAGAATTGCCGATAATGGAAGTATGGCTGAAAGGGAAAAATTTCAAGAATACAGTCATCAGGTAAAGGCAAGATTTTTATATACTTTTTGGGGATGAATGGTGAGGATAGGAATTTTTGACCTGAAAATTTTGAAAAATTGAAAGCACGACTTTTGAGAATGAACAAATGATTAGTGACATTGACTGAAGTAGATGACATTTGTGGGCAAGAATTCAAATTCACATGGAAAATTGAAAGCACGACTTTTGAGAATGAACAAATGATTAGTGACATTTTGTTTTGACATTGACTGAAGTAGATGTAATTTGTGGGCAAGAATTCAAATTCACATGACCCAGGTCTTCATTGTTATCAGTCGGGATCTAACCCCCGAGTCCTGTCCTGATGCGAAACTGAAAGCAATGCAGCTGAAGTGCTGAAAAGAAAAAAAGATTAGGCTGTGTTTCAGCTTTGTTTTTAAATAATTTTTGGGACGATGAAATCTAAAAATATTGGAAAGAAAAAGTTGAAGAAAACAACTGTGAAAAAAAGTACCAAGATGAAAGCAATTCATAAAACAGCAAAAACAAATTTTAATGAAAACGATTCTGATGAAATTGAAGAAGACATGCCTTCCTATATGAATGAGGTTGATGAGGATGACCTGGAAGATGAAGGGGAAAAACACAAACAAGATTTAGAAAAACTGAAACAGAGTGACCCCGAATTTTATAAATTTCTTCAGGAAAATGATAAAAAACTATTGGACTTCAATTTATCAGATGAAGAAGTAGATGATGACCAAAGTGAATCAGGAAATGCAAAAGACAGGGAGGTTCATGAACCGGAAGAAAATCTAGAAGTTGCTAGTGATGAGAGTGATTATGAAGTAAGCATTTACCTATTAACTCCAATTTCACATCTATTTCACAAGGCTGAAAAAAGATCATTGTTCACCCACTCTGTTCCATGGTATCTATCACACAATTCTTATAAAATACATGTTTTTAGGCTGATGATGCTGATGAGACCAAGTTGAAAGATTCTAGGATAATTACACATAAATTATTGAAAGTTTGGTCAACAGAAATTCATACAGATAAAACAAATAAAACTATAATTGCCCTTATTCAAGCTTTTCATGCTGCTTTGAACACTGTAACAACACAGGAAGAGATCCAAGAGTCTGCCATTTTTAAAGTTGAAGGTAAGTATTATAAGTGATATTTATTTATAGAAGTAGAAATGTTGTATATTTACAGAAACATTTCAATTGAAACTTCCACTTGATTGTTTATATATTATTTTTTGGTGAACTTACAAAATCTGAGTAAAACTCTAGTAACTTTTCAATAGGTTCTGCAGTATTCAATGGAGTCATTCAATTATGTGTCCTTGAGTTGGGACCAGCAATTAGGAGATTTTTAGGTATACACCAAGGGTCTAAAATGCCAGCACACAAATGTAAAAAATTCATAAAAATCAAAAGGGTTCTGAAGGGCTACTTTACTGATCTCCTGAAGGTAAGAATAACTTTAGGTATTTCATTTGATATGGACCTTTACAATTTTGGGTAAAACTGCACTTATCATGCAATGGTTTTTTTTTGGAAAAATTTTTTGGGAACAAACCATTATTTATTAATATATTTCACTATAAAGTTATGAATTTCACCTTCATTTCCACTTGTTTTTGGATCTCATTTAGAACAATTTGTCCTTTTTTTTCATTGAACAATTTATGTATCACAATGTACTTCAATGACAAATTTTCTTCATTACATGAGTCAACTAGAAATATGGTTTTCTTGTGATTCATCCATATTTAGTGGAAAGAAGAAAGAATATCATTCAAAATAATGGCATGTGATGTCATTCAGAAGCAATCTGTTGACATTTGATTGATGAATTTCACCTTCATTTCCACCTGTTTTTGGATCTCATTTAGAACAATTTGTCCTTTTTTTTTCATTGAACAATTTATATATCACAATGTACTTCAATGACAAATTTTTTTCATAATATGAGTCAAATAGAAATATGATTGTCTTGTGATTTATCCATATTTAGTGAAAAGAAGGAAGAATGTCATTCAAAATAATGGCATGTGATGTCATTCAGAAGCAATCTGTTGACATTTGAATGATGATTGTTCACTAAATATGAAAAACTCACTATAAAAATCATATTTCATGTTGAATTTCCTATATAAAAATGTGTCATTGAAGTACATCATGAGTATATAAAGTGTCCAATGACAAAATAAAAAGAGCAAGTTGCTGTAAATGCATCCAACACAGAGGGAAAAAAAGGCGAAATTTTGAACTTTTTCTTGAAATATCTGGATAAATAGTGGTTTGTTCACATTTTCATTATCAAATTCATGTTTTTCAGACTAAAATACATAAGTACCAAAAAAAATTTTCAAAAAGAAACCCTCCACATGATAAGTGCAGTTTTCCCAATTTTGATTTGAATATTTTCAATGTACTTCTGATAGATATTCTAAGGAGTATTCTTATCATTGCCTGCTAAATATGAAGAAAAAATCTAGTGAGCTGTAGTATCATTCTTATCAATAAAAATCCAAGAAAAATGTATAGGAATTTATAATTATCACTAGTTGGTACAGTTTTATTATATTTAACTTTCAAACAGGTTTCAACTGAATTTACCATATTTTCAAGGGTTATACATTTTATATTGTGAGGTTAGATGTCAAATGTAAATAAACTTGTTGTTGAAATTATTGTATTTCTATTAGATCAGAAACTAGTGATTTGTTAATAATCAAGACTAAGAGCAATTGACAAAAGACAATACATTTGCCAAATGACACTCAATAGCACAAAATGTCTGATCCTTTCCAAGTCAAATATGGTTGAGTTCTTTAAGTGTATGCTAGAGTCTATGAGTTCTTTACTATCAGGAATCACTTCCATAGCTACTATCTAAACTATTGAAGCTATAAAAAAGAAGGTAAGCCACTCATGAATTTGAACTGGTGAATATAAATCATGCACATTTAGGACCTTTCATAAAGAGTTGATCTGATTTATGGAACCATCCATATATCTCAGTAACCAGTCCTCAGATCTTGGAGAATTGGAGAAAAATTATATCACCAATGTTGCCATGTTATCAGTTTTTCGGGAATTATTATCAACTTCCTTATTTTAAATAGAACGCCCTCCTGGAACTGCATTGATCAATATATAGAAAACCATTAGTGGGCCGTGTTTGAAAATTCGGTAGTTCACTATTGTTGATAAGTGCTATCCGCTATCCGGCTAAAATATTTTGAAGATTGTGGCACTTCCGGTTGTACCTGTATTTTATTGCATTTTTAGATTCTTGATGATGAGCTGATTTCATCAATTCATCACACTTGGGGTCTATCAGGAATGATTACAGAGATAAAGGGTGTTCAAAATCGAGATTTTTCGATTTTAGGATTTTTTTGTGTCAAAGCTATTCATTATTGATCAAAACGACTTACTTGTCCCTATCTTAACTTTTGATTCACTATCTACTGACATTTAATTGAAACAGATACAGGGTGATCAGAATTATGAATCTTGAAGCACCCTTTATTTTTTCCAATTAAATTCCAGTAGATAGTGAATCAAAATTTAAGATAAGGACATGTGAGCCGTTTTGATCGATAATGAATAGTTTCGACACAAAAAGATCTTAAAATTGAAAAATCTCGATTTTGAATACCCTATATCTCTGTAACCATTCCTGATAGACCCCAAGTGTGATACATTGATGAAATCAGCTCTTCAGTAAGAATCTAAAAATGCAATAAAATACAGGGCGTTCTATATGAAGTAACGAAGTTAAGGTCCACTTCCGGTACAACCGGAAGTGCCACAATCTTCAAAATATTTTAGCCGGATAGCACTTATCAACAATAGTGAACTACCAAATTTTCAAATACGGCCCACCAATGGTTTTCTATATATCGATCTATGCAGTTCCCGGAGGGACACCCTACCCTGTATATGTTTATATCATTTTTTTATGAGTTCACTGATATACTACTATATGATAGTTTTATTTACAATATTTACAAAGATATCTGAAAAAACGGCCAGAGTACCCCTCAATAATGACTCAAACATAACAAGAACAAGAAAAGGGACTTGAATAGATGTTCAAATTGTTGTCCGTTGACCTCCTGACAATGAGCTAGACGATACACTGCATCTAAACTGTTTCTGATGTGCTCTCGTGGTATGTCCTCCATCACTCTTCAGATAACAATTTCCAAATTCTCGAGACTGTCTGGTCTTTCTTTGTAAACAATATTTTTGACATGTCCCCATAAGAAGAAATCTAATGATGTGAGATCTGGCGAACGCGCTGGCCATTCGATGGATCCACGTCGTCCAATCCATTGGTTTCTGAATACGTCATCAAGATATTGCCTTTTTATTTTTTTTCATCGAGGTGGTTGAAATCCTTTATGGACATCATATGGGTCCAATCCCCCATATGATAGTGTGGGAGTGCCCTGACTCCAGGTATACCCACTAAACACTCCACCCTGTTTGTAGGCTTGTCTGACCGAAGTCTCCGACGACACTTAAGCTTAGTGGCCCATTGTATCTTACCTACATGCCGTTTTCAATTTTACCATATACGACTCATGGTGCTTATTAAGGGCCACTTCAATATGAGAGACCCTTTTCGTTCAGGTTCCTAAAGATTACTCTTCCGATCCCTGTTCTCGTCTACGAAGAAGGCCAAAAGTTTTCCTTCTCCTACGAGTGACGGGGGAAGGGGTTGGTCCAGCCCTGTGGTGCCCCCTGCACAGGGCTAAGGCTACCTACTCTGAGATGTCGCCCTGTTTCCCAGAGGCCCCGTTAGCGACACCATACCTCGGTGCCATTCATCCATCACCACGGGTTCCCACAGCTTGGATTAGGTTGCCAGAGCCTCGTTGACCAGTCCTCGGCCACCTAGACAGACATCAGCAAATCGCCCCATCCCTGCCACAGATGTCCACAAATTGTCCCATCTAGCCCAGAGATAGCAAAGATGGTCCCAAAATGCTTCATCCGTCGAGCGGCCGCGGTCTGTCCTCCCCACACCACTTGATGGTGAGGTTGGGCTTGAAGGGGAGGAGGAAAAGAGAAGTTGGCCAAGGAAGGCCGATAGATAGATTGAAAAAGGAAGAGAGAAGAGGATATCACCCAAGACAAGTTGAAGTATGGTGAATATCCGGCTAGGGTACCTCGGGTTCACCATTCCCGTACTCACAAGTTGTGAGCCCCTGAGGGGAAGATATTGCCTTACATTGAATGCAAAATGCGGTGGTGCCCCGTCTTGTTGAAACCAAATATTCTGACGTGCTCCACAATTTCCATCTGGAAACAAATTCATCAATGCCGGGAAAATCTCATTCTGTAATAATATGAGGTATCTGGCGCTATTCAACGTTCCTTCAGTGAAGAATGGTCCAATGATTCTATTGCCAATAATTTCTTAGGATATTGAGTATGGCTATCTTGATCCCAATGAGGATTCTCGAAAATCTAGTATGGAAAGTTTTGCCTATTCATCGATCCAGATAGACAGGAAGTGGCTTCATCGGAAAACAGAATATTCCTAATGAAGTTGATACCTCTCGCCATTAACGTTTCACAGAATGTATATCTGCTTTCTGCTACGCCGTCAATCTGTCCGTGGATTGAATGCACCTCATATGGCTTCATGTTCTCCTTTTTCAAAATTCGTATCACTGACATTTGACTTATTCCATGATCTAAGCTCAATTGGGTTGTGGAAGTATGTGGTTGATCTAGGGTTGAAACTACAACATCTAATGCTTTTTCAGGCGTAGTTGCTGTTTTCGGGCGTCCTGTATTTCTATTAATTTTTTTTTTCACTTGGAGCGCACGAAAGGAAATCCCTATAATGTTCAAAGAACATCGTGCGTTCCTAGGGAGGATAGGGACAGGAGGTAGGTATTGGAATTTTTTTCAACTTCTGGAGATTATATGTTGTTGGGAATACTTCCTCAGGCAATGAATTCCAGAGCCTAGCCGTTCTATGGAGGAAGGAGTAAAGTGCTGTGCGACATCTTTCGAGGTTGACACCGGAAGGATGTGCTGACTGGGCTTGTCTAGTTCGTCTGACTGGTATTGCTAGTGAAGGGATGATTGCAGAGATTTCCGAAGGACATTTCCCGTGGAAGTATCGATATATATTCTATACGAGAGTGGCTGGTTGCCCGACTGGAGTAATTTCAACTACGAAATAGCCACAATGCTCGAAGTGGAATGACATGTTGAATAAATACAAAAAGCTCAAAGTCATTTCCATACAGTGTTCATAAAATGAACAACAATGGTAGATTACGGGAGGAAAACAAGTAACTAATAGCCACTCCCGTATGGGAATTTTGGTTTTAGAGTGTTTCTTTCCTCCTTTTCTACCCAGATGGCGTTGCTTTCATATTGTCTATGGAGGACGCCACTGAGGAATATACTGCCGACTTTGTTTGTTTTTGTTTGGCTAGGCTACGCTTAGTCGGCGGTCTTAGGACTGCTGGCTGGAGACTGTCCTGCACTGATGAGAGTCAAAGAGATCGAAACCGGTCTGTAGGTGTCTAGCGTGGCCTAACTAAATCGAAATCAATAGGCATTCAGGAAAGAATCACTTGTATCAGTATTCGTTTATACGAGTCGATGCATAGATTTTGGGAGGATCTAATTCAATGTTGTGCGTGGCATTAGCCAGGAAAGTAGTTGTGTTTCTCCCGTAAACTACCATTGTTGTTCATTTTATGAACATTGTGTGGAAATGACATTGAGCTTTTTGTATTTATGTAACATTTCATTCCACTTTAAGCTTTGTGGCTAATTCTTACTTGATCTTTCGTAATTGTTTGAGTTAGGATTCCAAAATTTGCTGGAGCGGGAGATATACCGAAAATGCACAATATCTCGATAATTATGAGAAGTAGTGAAAAAACCTACTGATACAATCTTATAGATGATTTTATCAGCTTCAATTTTGAATAGATTGAATTTTTTGCTGTGACGTACTGTTCTTGAGATATAAATCAAAAAAGGGACCTACATCGCCCCCTCCACTTTGCTCACTTTCGCGGGACTTTTGAATTTTTTTACTTCCTATCTTCTTCAAACACATCCCTAGTGTCAAGAAAATGGCCTCTTCCATGTCCTCTACAACCTGTTCATTGACTGAAGTACCATTTTAATTCTCACAATTTTTTTTTCAGCTATTGTTGGGCGTTACTTCGTCAAACATTCAGACAGTCCTCCTGAAACATCTGCACTACATGTCAGGCCTATTAGTCTCCTATCCGAACATCACGAAATCCTTGGTCAAACAGCTCGTGCATCTGTGGGGCACCGGAGACGATTCCATCCGAGTACTAGCTTTCTTCTGCATTTTACGCATAACTAACAACCAGCAAGTCGCAGTGCTAGAAACAGTCTTGAAGGCCATGTACATGACTTACGTGAAGAACTGCAAGTTCGTTACTTTCAAAGGTTTGGCGGCTATTAATTTCATGAGGCGCTCGCTGGTTGAACTTTTCGCTTTGGATGCCAACTATGCCTACCAGCACGTCTTTTTGTACATTCGGCAGTTGGCGATACATTTGCGGAATGCTATAACTGTCAACAAGGCGGAAAACGTCCAGAGCGTGTACAATTGGCAATTTATCTCTTCTTTGCAGCTGTGGGGTAATTTGTTGTCGGTTTGTTACAATAAGAAGACGATGCAGTCTTTGGTGTATCCGTTTATTCAGATTTGTATTGGTACTATTAAATTGGTGCCGACAGCACAGTACTATCCTTTGAGGTTCCATGTCGTGCAGATTATGATGGATTTGGCCAAGGAGACCGGGGTGTTTATTCCTGTTATGCCGTTTTTGTTGGAGGTAAGAGTGCAGTGAAAAAACTTATAAAGTTGTTGAGGTAATGTTGTATTGTGAAATATTTTTTAATGGGCAAGTGGGCTGGTAGTTAATAATTGTCATTCAGTCACTCTACTGTGTCGATACGGACCTGCATTAATTGTGGCAGCATTTACGCTTTTTTGATGTAAATAATGTGTCTATATGTTGTTTGAAATTGTTTCATTCCCACTTATGAAGCAGGGTTGTCAGATGTCAGATCACCAATTATAATCTAGTTGTTATTAAAATGTTGTTAGAGGCCTATCGTTGAATAGAACTACATCCAAATAAAATATTTCATTTGATCTAATAGGAGCAACAAATGATAGTATAGTTATTAATTTGTGACTTTTTCGAACAATTAGCTTGTCAAAATATTTCTTCCACTCCATAACAAAACATCATGCAAATATTGGCTATAGAGACTTGGCAATGATGTGCTTGATGCTGATAACTGACAAGACAACGCCTACAGTCCTGTGTTGTCATGTTTACCAGACCGAATGTCCTCTAGTGTGAATTAATATAATGATTATTATTAATACAAATTCATCATAAGCAATAAGAAACAGCTTATAAGAGGGGCAATTTTGAGACAATGGAGTTTTTATAGCTGATTAAAGATATTAATAATATATAATTGAGATTTAATGAATTAATAAATGAATAATATATCTGTTCCCATTTCCTCATTCTTGTGCCGGTCGTGGGCCTCAATCCTAAGAATAGCACAATTTTTTCTGATGGCCCAAGGAAGTGTTTATGGTCACACGTTAAAAGGTAAACCCCCCCCTGGCATTCCTTGCTCGCACAAGTGTCTTGGAGACTTCTGAGAGTGGCTCGCAAGGGGGCAAGCGAATGACGGGTAGAACAATTTAAGAACAACAACGATAATTTTTATGATTTTAGCACCTTAATATCGACCGAAAAAATCTAAGATATGGAATTGAAAGGTGCTTGAATGACGAAACAATAAAAAAATGCATTCTAGCCCATTTTCGTGGGCTGGTCCAGTCTCCAGTATTCTTATAATGGCGAGATTCTCTAACATTAATTTGTTTCATCTCCTGGAGCGCATGAAAGGAAATTCCTATAATTTTTGTGGAACATCGTGCGTAGCTAGGGAGGATATTTATATGAACTTTCGGAGGTTATAAGTTCTCGGGAATACTTCCATTGGCAAAGAATTCCAAAGCTTTTCCGTTCTATAGACGAACGAGTTTTTGAAGAGAGTTGTTCGACATTTTTCAAGGTTAACGACGAAGGGATGTGCTAACTAGGCCTGTCGAGTTCGTCTGACTGGTATTGCTAGTGATGGAATTATAGCAGAGATATCTAAGAAACATTTCCCGTTTTAATGGTGTCAAAGAGTAGGTGAGTGTGGCATCACCCACCAGGCGAATGGCTCTTCTCTGGATGGAATCTAAGAGCATCAGCATATGTTTGGGTGCTGAACCTCATATGTGAGGACAGTATACTAGAACTGGCCGTATTTCTGCTTTGTAGATCATGGGAAGCTGTTGAGGTGTAAAGTAGATTTTCGTACGGAACAAGAATCCGAGTTTTTGTGCAGTACCTTTTGCGATGAATTGGACATGAATTTGCCATGAGAATGTATTGCTGATGGTGATACCGAGCATAGGTGTAGTGATCTTGGTGTGAATGGTGGTACCAGACATTCTTATATCAGGCATACTGAGTTACGCCTTTCTAGAGATATAATGAAATCAAAGATGGAGGTTCCATCAGTTACCTCGGCCATTGTCGTTCTAAATAAAAAACTTGTGGGCGAGTTATGATTAGCTCGTTTATTGAGGGCTGCTTTATCAAAAAATGAAATTTATCAGTCAGATAATGCTCAACTGCCAGTTGATTTAGAAAGGTGGGTTTAACGATATCAGATTATGTTTTATCCAGCATCAGCTAACTGTTAGATCAAATTGGTGGATAAGTCAGATAACTGTAGGAAAGCCCATAGCCCATAGTATACCACATAATCTCTGCTATATTTCCATCACTAGCAATACCCTCCGGGCGAATTCGACAGACCCAGTCAGCACATCCTTTCGTCGTCAAAACTCGTTGGTCTATAGAACGGCAAAACTTTGGAATTCTTTGCCAATATAAGTATAGAGTGAGGGTTGCTCAGCTGTGTGCATACCAATGAAGGGAAGTATTGTATTTCGTGCAAGATAATTTATTCAAATTTATTACTCGTAGCAGAGCGCTTTTCGACTGTTAAGTCATCATCGGTGCATACTCGTCAGGTTACGTCGTCGGTACAAACATACGTACAAACATGAGTCATCACGCAGCGACAATGGCTGCTTAACAAAATGTAATCTGTATTTTACCCCCTTTTGGGAAACACATTTTAATATGTTTGTACCGTATTTTACCATAATGTCGATAGTTTTGAACTGGACCATATATATTTTTATGGACAAATTTCCTTGTTATACGACGCTATACATAGTGGAGTATACTACGGCCTTGCCAAAAATGCTATCTCGGAAACTAAGTGAGATAGAGGTATAGTTACTTTGGAGAAAATGATCCCCATCGAATTTTGAGCAACTTTGGTTTTTGTGTGTGGTCTGTCTGTCTGTCTGTACTCTGTGGTAATCATAAATCGATATATCTCCGGAACCCTTCGACATATCGACTTGAAATTTTGCCATCTTATTGTACTCAATACAATATTATGTCATTAAAATATGAAGGAAATCGGAATACTCTAAGGTGGTTTTTACGGGTTTTTTTCGATTTTTCACCGGAAGTTTGTTGTGACCATCAGGAAAAGACGGAGCCTATTGAAATTGAGCAGGGTCGGGAAATTCCAAGTGGGTTTTTCAAGGAGATTTTCCGAAACACACGGTTCGCTATAAAACGACATATCTCCTGAACCAATAGACTAAATCCAAATTTGAAAAATGCACCGTATGCCTCTTTGATGAAGCAACAAATTATTATTCCACCATTTTTCCGTGCATCCATCGGAAAATGGAAAAACAAATGAAAATCAAAACATCAAGATTTGAAATTCTTTGAATTCAATATATATCGAAAACAAATGGAAAAATCGAAAATTATCAGAAGTGCAAAGTTATCCACTGAAACATTTCCTACAAATTATTACCCTAACTTTTTTCTGTAAACCCAATAGTACAGGGAATAAAGTAAAAATATGAAAAAAAATTTGAACGACCACTAGGGTACCATAAAGATATATTGAAAAACAAAAGATTATCGATACATGAAGATCATCGACTTCCACAGAACTATGAAATATTTTTTCCTTTTGTTGATTGGAAGATGGAACAAAAGTGTTGAAAATTTTATTCTCAGATGATTCCAAATATCTCGAAAACAACTGGAAATATCTGAAAATGTCATAGAACCAAAATTATTCCTTTTGATAGAATCTACAAAAAATCCTTATAACATTTTTCTCTGAATTCAATAGTTCGGGAGATACGATGAAAAAACTAAAAAATTCACAAGTTCCTAGATAATCACTTGCCAATAGAAAACGAAACAAAAAACAAAAGAAAGTAAAAAAAGCACACTCGACTGTCTTGATTTTTTTCCCATAAACTACTTACCTAGCTCACTCGACTGTCTTTATTTTTCGCCAATAAACTAGGTACCTAGCTCACTCGACTGTCTTAATTTTCTGCCCATAAACTACGTACCTAGCTCACTCGACTGTCTTGATTTCCCACAAAGAAGAAATATGTTGGCAAAGTTTTAACTTTCTTTTGTTTTTGTTTTTTCAGTCCCTATTGGCAGTCGAGTGGGCTAGGTACGTAGTTTGTGTGGAAAAACCAAGACAGTCGAGTGGGCTAAGTACGTAGTTTGTGGGAAAAATCTCCAGTTCGCTGAACTTTCATAGCGTCGTATACACATCTTTGGTGCCCAATGATAGTTTCAATATAAAAATATGCTCATGATATGGTGCTATGGCCTCTACTTCCATCTTACATGAGCAATGATAAAATATCATCTGCTTTTATAGCGTCGTATAAATTATCTGACCCCTATACTAATCTAATACCTAATGAAAACAACATCTTTACTAATCTGATACCTTTCAAAAACTACGTACCTCACTTGTTAACCTTACGAGTATGCACTGATGATGACTTAACAGTCGAAAGCGCTCTGCTACGAGTAATAAATTTGAATAAATTATCTTGCACGAAATACAACACTTCTCTTCATTGGGAATAGAAGTATACCCAACAACTTATATAACCTCCAGAAGTTGAAAAAAAATTCAACACCTACATCCTCGACAGCAGCGCCACCTACCGCGTCCAATTAGGCAATTCAACTCAGGTTATAATCAACATGGCGTCTGGTTGGCACCATATATAGAATCAATAGAATAATGTTACTAGAACAATTATTAGATACTTACTGCTTATGATTTTCTTTGATATTATGATTTGTACTTCCGATACCAACAGGAATTCGCGTATTTAAAAACGATGTATCACACATAAATAATCACATTGTCTGCCAACCGGCGCATAGTTCGATAGGTTATTTGATTGTTATTGTGTTTTCAAATCATCCAGGAAACCATCGAAATCTATATACAGTATGATGCAAATGTATGGAATATATTCATTATTTCAGAAATGGGCGACATTTGAAGAAATTCCAAAAACACGTGAGTTTTAATTTTTGAAGCCTCATCTCATGACATTCATATGAGAGATGTTACGTCACTTGTGTTGGAGTAATGACGTAATGGACGATTTTTTCAAATACAAACAGGGGTCATGTGACACCTCGTTTGAAAGGTCTACTGATCGTCTATGCAACAGTCAAAACTTCGCATAATAAGATTGAAATTAAAATGGTTTATCATTTGGTTAACTGAATCTTGCAGAGGTCTGCTACTCAGAATTGAACATCGAAGGGTCGTTTAGTTGAAAAAATAGTAAAAATACACAATAAAAAAAGTTCCGAACTCTAAGTTTTTGGATTTTTTTCGGGAGTCGTCTTGTTTTGAAATGAATTTATTCCATACATCTATCTGCATCATAATGTATATAAAATTCTCCTGTCCCGGTCACGGTGTTAGTGGCCGAACTCCTCCGAAACGGCTCGACCGATTCATATGAGAATTTTTGTGCGTATTTGGTAGGCATGAGAATCGGTCGTAATCTATTTTTTTAATCGAAAATTCAAGATGGCGGATCCAATATGGCGGACGAGTATATTGTTATCCGATTTCATTCAAAATTGGAATTTGGGGGTTTTCGGGGTCGGAGATTATGATTCTTTCGTCAAGTTTTGGAAATTCAAGATGGCGGATCCAATATGGCGGACGAGTTTTGTAATTATGGTCAGATTCCATTCAAAATTGGTATCTGGGGGTTTTCGAGGTCGGAGATTATGATTTCTTCATAAAAATTAGGAAATTCAAAATGGCGGATCTAATATGGCAGACGAGTTTTGTAATTATGGTCAGATTCCATTCAAAATTAGAATCTGGGGGTTTTCGAGGTCAGAGATTATGATTTTTGATCAAAATTAGGAAATTCAAAATAGTGGATCCGATATAACGGACGAGTTTTGTAATTATGATCCAATTATAAACAAAATTGGTATCTGAGGGTTTTCGGGGTCAGAGATTATGGTTCGTTCGTCAAAATTTTTGAAATTCAAAATGGAGGATCCAATATGGCGGACGAGTTATGTAATTATGGTCAGATTCTATTCAAAATTGGTATCTGGAGGTTTTAGAGGTCGGAGATATGAACCATTTGTCAGAATGGGGAAATTCAAAATGGCTAATCCAATATGGCGGACGAGTTTTGTAATTATGTAACTGATGAAACTCGTTTTCATAGATAGCCAAACTAAAAAGAAGTGACTAGTAAATAAATAAAAAAATGAAGAGGTATAGAGTGCCGAACTAAAAAGAAGTAGAGGAGAATAAGTAGAATAGTTTGAAAAACTAAAAAATTTTGTTTTCATGGATAGCCGAACTACAAAAAAGTTTCCATAAAATAATGAAAGTTCTTCGATAAATATTTATGTAAAAACATGTTTTCTAGAAATACAGTATGGCAAAACAACGTTTGACGGATCAGCTAGTACCCATATAAAATTTCAACAGAATCGGTTCAGCCGTTTAGAAGTTATGTGAAAAAGATGAGTAAGGAAGGATAATTCTTACTATCCGTTGTCCTATTGCCCCTTTTTCCCGTAGGAATGAAACAATTTCCCGCTGTAAAAAGTAGTCTATGATTATCAGCGATAATGTTGGCTTCTAATGGTTAAAGCATTTTTCAGATCGGCCCAGTTGTTTCGGAGCCTATTCAATGCAAACAAACAATCAAATCTTTCCTCTCTCATGAATTTATTATGTATTTATGGAGAATGCAACCCTTAAACAGCCCCTTAATGGAAATTTCTTTTTAGGTTTTAACTACTTGTGATTTCAACAAAAAACATCAGAAGGTGTCGATGAAACCTTTGCATTTCACGTGCTTATTGAGGCTTTCCAAATCTCAATTGCAAGAAAACGGGTTCAAGGATATGGTGATAGAAACTGTTTATGGACAGTTATTGGAGTGTCTCAGTGCCCAGTCACATACACTAGCATTCCCTGATCTGAGCCTAATTTGCATTACTCAGGTAATTCGACTTGAAAGCCTTATACAGAGCTATTGCAGATTTACTTCTGAATTTGGGTCTATGATGGTCTTTATTTGACGTTTAATAACAATAATTTAAAAAATATTAGAATATCATGGTTATATTCGGATACTCCTGAAAAACTTATTCGAAGATATTGATAATTCTTCAAGTCTTGAAGAATTCATTCGATAATTTTTATTATTATTATCAAACAATTGAAACTAACTATCAGCATCTCTCCGAGGATATAGCTTGAAAAATCTCTTGCTCAAAATCCAATTGAGCTATGCACTAAATTCCTAATGATTTAACTTGAAAAGTAATTATAATCTCTCGTACTATCAACATACTCTTTGAATGATAACAATGATGGAAGTAAGATATGGTGTAATTACTGATGCGCTTTTGTTTCAGAAATTTTACTCGACCTCTCGAGAGCAGCGAGAGCAATGGTTCCGTTGATCTTCTAATAGATGGCGACATTGCACAATTATGACTTCTGTCAGTTTTGAAATTGTGGCAGATTTTTCGAATTCGGAGTTGTTTAATCCCACTGTTACATATGTTCCGCGTACCTAAAATGGCATTTGCCATTTTATTTCCACTCGTCACAGCAGCAATAGCAGCATCACCATCTAGCGGGAAAATGTAGAATCAACGTCTCGCTCGTTGTGACGAAGAGAAATCATAGTAGGCCGGTCGAGTGATTTTTCTGAAATTTTCAATACGTAATGATGGCCGAATGCGCACACCATATCTTACTTCCATCATTATGATAACTACCGATGAAGAACTACTGAGAAGGTGTGAGAAGAAGTGGACATTCCAATGATGCTATCGCCACTTCTTTTTCTGTTTTTATCCAATTCAACAAAAATACCGTTAATTCTAAACTTTTTGAATTTCGACAATTGACTCATGATAGATGAAATTTTGATCATTACATAATTCTGTTAGACAGGTGTCCATGTTACTGTTCTGATTGTCTGCCATCATCATCATATCAGAGATGATTTGCAAGTTTTCTCTACAAAATTCAAGTATAATGTAACAATTTTTTATTAATCTTCAAAAATATTGATTCATGTTGTGAATGTGTGTGCACTTAACGGAAGCCAGCTTCAACGAAACCTCATTTTCCGTAAGTGTTTATAGTAATCGATAATAACGATTGCGAATTTTCATGACTCGAATGCTTGATCAGAAACAAGAGTACACTGTGTTTTTCTTTGACTTCATGCCCAAAGGAAATTCACAGTTTCATCCTTGACTTGGACAGTCATCTAATCTTTTCCTCTATATATATGTAATCGAAACCGATTCATTTCCGAGATACAGGGTGCTCAAGTTCCTTGAAATAATCGATTTTTTTTTAATTTCTGAAATATGCCCGAACCGATAGTGATAAAATCCACTATGTCTGTTAAAATCACAATGATATATTTTTTTGACCTAATACAGTTGATTAAGGTATAATCAGGAGCGTGCCCACGAGGCAAGCCCAATAGTTTTTTGCACAAAAAATAATACCCAGTAGATTTTGTTCAATTTTCGCAACTTTTTTGATTGAAGCAACTCAAAATACATTTTTATTGGCTCTTTAGTTTCCATCGTATCTGGCTGCGTTTTAGCAGTAACAAACAAAAACCAAACCTATGCATGTGAAGCCAATGAGATAACTGTAATAATTGCAAATGAACATATATACAGGGTGATTCAGATTTGGAGGCACAAACTGGAATGGATGATAGATCTAATCATTTTCATCAAAAAAAGTCTATGTAAACATGAGTCCGATCTCAATCAGAAGCGGAGCAACAGGGGGTCAAAGTTTAATTATTATTTTCTATTAATTGATATATCTCGCTCACTTTTGAAGATATTTTAGTTTGGTGGATGATTCCTAGGAGATCATCATTTTGAGCATCTTATAAATTTTTAAAATCTACAGGATGATGCGCTTTTAGGGGTAGAGGCTTCCTTATCTCCCACAAACTGTTTCGTAGTACGCCTTTCTAGTTAAGAAATTCAATATATCGTTCAATTTAAAGGCTTTTTTTGTCTCTCAAGTTTTTTCGAAAAACCAACCCTTCTCGAAATAAATGAGCATATCCGTTCTGAAACCATGTTAATTTTGCCTATATTGTTTCGCTCAAATTTCATTATTGGACGAAATTCGTAGAAAATGCAATAAAATGCACTAAAATTACAAACTGAATCAGTAGCGGGGATACAAAGAGTAGCAGGTCAAGGTTTTTTTAGTTTTTAAAGTGGGTTGAATTTTCTCCAAGAATAAAATTTAAGCGAAACGTAGACAAATTCAATATATTTTAGAACGGATATGCTTATTTATTTCGAAAACTGTTCGTTTCTCTAAAATAAAATGAAGAGCAATAAAAGCATCTAAATTGAAAAATTCACATAATACGCGGTAACTAGATGATGACCGATGCGTACTAAAAAAATAGTGCATCACCCTGTAGATTATGAAAATCTTCAAAATGGTTGAAATGATGATCTGGGAAGTAAGAACCTCACCAAATTACAAATTGATAACTTCAATAGTGAGCAAGATATTTTAATTAATAGAAAAAATTATTGATCTTTGACCTCTTGTAGCTACGTTACTGATCAAGATCAGACTCATGTTTATATAAACTTTTTTGATTAAAATGATGGGGTCTATTACACATTTCAGTTTGTGCCTTAAAACCTGAATCACCCTGTATATTTCGAGTGCGTGCTCGAAAAATCGCTCCTAGAAGTCTCTCTTTAGTTATACAGGGTAAAAGCAAATTTCATGGTACACTATTGTTATATTAGAAACGGAAAGAGATGCAAACTAGATTATATTACGAAAAAATTGCGCCGTTTCGTTTCGCCGGAAACCATCGATTTTTTAAGTTATCAATAACTTTTCAACTATTACTGCTAGAGTATTGAAATTTAGTACACTTACTGAAGATCGCATGCTTAATTCAACGGTGACATGAAAACATTTCGAGGCACGCCAGATTCGAAGATATCGAAGCCAAATTTGATTTTTTCAAAGGCAGCCATATTGGATTTTCACACCATCGGATAGATTATAAAATTACCAATTCATAGATGTATCACACTCGTATATTTCAGGAGATATCGAAAAACTGGACAAATTTAAAATAACAAGTTGATGTGAGATTTGCTAGGCCCACAATTCCAAGTTTTTTCACTAAACAAGAAAACATTTAAAATATTCAATTTTTGAGGTGCTCGAAGTGACCCCCACCATTTTCTAGACAAAGCGCAATTCGACTGCAAATATCATTTGCTACTCTCCGTATGGTTGCCTCCTGTATTGAATTGATTGTTTGCATGATTTGTCCTCGCAAATCTTCAGCGTCCCTAATTGTTCTGAATTAATCTGTATTTTTCAAATATCCCCATAAGTAATAATCCAACGGATGCAGGTCCGGAGATCTAGCGGGTTATCGCGCTGGACCGTTAGTACCAATCCATCTTTGTCCAAACGTTTGACACAATGTCTGAGAAGCGTTGGCAGGGGCTCCATCTTGTTGAAACCACATTTGACAAATTTAGTTGATGGGAAATTCATCCAATAAGGGTTCAATTCTATCTCTCAGGAGATTTCTATAGTTTTCTCCGTTCAGGCGATCTCCAAGAAAAAATGGACCCAGAATTTGACCATTGAAGATGCCACACCAGACGTTACCGAGAATCTTATTTGATGGCGTGATTCTTTCTTGAGCTTTGGGTTTTCTTTGGACCAAAAATGTTCATTGTGACGGTTGAAGAGGCCATTAATTGTAAATACCAATAATAAAATAAAGACCATAACACTTTCTACGTAAAATCTATATCATCATTAATCCTATTCTGTAGCCATTCACAAGAAAAGATTCGCCTGGCAAAATTCTTCCTGATAAACCTAGAATCTCAAGACTAAGAGATTTTAGGGAAATTTCGTGAATCGATTGTCAGCTGATGCAAGACAGACTGTTTCGACTTGCCATAAGTCTCATCAGTTGCACTGGCCAGCTGACAATCGATTCGCGAAGGGTACCTCCATATATCAAACAATTCGTGAATCGATTGTCAGCTGGCCAGTGCTGATGAGACTTATGGCAAGTCAAAACAGTCTGTCTTGCATCAACTGACAATCGATTCACGAAATTTCCCTAGAATCTCTTAGTCTTGAGATTCTAGGTTTATCACCATCTGTTAATGGAACATTAAACCACTTTGAGAATTACAGGTGTTGCGATAGTCTACAGAATCTGACATGGATGTCTTTTCTGTAAGCATATAGAAGTAGGGGTCTATATGCACGACTTAGTCGCAAGGTATGATTGATGAATCTACCTATACACCTTGCACTTAAGCCACTATAGATGGCTATGAAGGCTAGATCGTCCTTCTGCCTCCTCAGGGCTTCGACTTGTTTGATATATGGAGGTACCCTTCGTGAATCGATTGTCAGCTGGCCAGTGCAACTGATGAGACTTATGGAAAGTCGAAACAGTCTGTCTTGCATCAGCTGACAATCGATTCACGAAATTGCCCTAGAATCTCTTAGTCTTGAGATTCTAGGTTTATCACCATCGTTAGTGAAACATTAAACCACTTTGAGAATTACAGGTGTTGCGATAGTCTATATGCACGACTTAGTCGCAAGGTATGATTGATGAATCTACCTATACACCTTGCAGTTAAGCCACTAGATGGCTATGAAGGCTAGATCGTCCTTCTGCCCCCTCAGGGCTTCGACTTGAAAATTCTTCCTATTGATTCCTTGCACTACATGGTAGTGATAGGGATGAAATTTTTGTTTCTTAAGATATCGTTGTAGTATTTAAGTAAATATCTTTTGATTTATGTGCACTTGTGCTAGGACATTTATAATGTTATGATTCAACTCGCTTCTCATCCCGTACCTACATGAGTTATCAAATTTTTTATGAAACAATTCAACAATGTTATACCCATATCTCACCTTGAACGCCTTTGCTGCGACACTACCATCTAGTCTAATCTTCTGTGCTGCCCTTTGAAAATAATTTCGCGAAGGCTGAATTCGTTCAGGGTATAAATTTTCATACATTTGACTAGCTTGCGCCGAATTTTGAAAACATCGAATGTAAACATCGTACATATCACTCTTTTCTTCAATACTGTGAACGTTCACCATCTCAATTCGCTTTCATTGAAGATGAAAACAATGATAATTTTTTCAATTGTTTGAATGACAGTTCTGAATTTTTGATGTTATTACAATCATCTAGCAATATTTGAGTATTTATTTGAGTATTTATTCAATAGCCATGAACAGTCATATGGTTTACATACATTTTTAGGTACAAAATGAGCTTTAAAAGCTTGTGTGTGCACCAGTCATTATTGAATCACATTTACAACAGATAATTCACCTATAAGTGAATTCGCTAATGAATCATCTTATATACTAATATCTGGACTTATCGAACTAATATAATATACAATCTGAATATAAATAATATATGCAATATATGTCAAACTAATAACCAGATATTGGGTTTGCTTTTTAAAATCCAAGATGATATTTTATTTTTGATTTTTTTGTATGGTTTGCCTTTGAGTTCGTTTGTCAGTATGTTATATATTTTTGGTCCTATATGAAATATACTTCGTTGAATGGTTACATAAGGTGAACTGGTAAATCTGACAGCAGCCTCTGAGTCTCCTTGACTCTGATAATATGTTTTCCACAATATAATCGGAATTACACATCAGCTCGCGAATTTTTTTTTTGTTTCTTGATATCCCCTACATAAAACATACAAGTGTGATACATCGATGAATTCGTAATTTTATGATCTATCCGATGGTGTGAAACTCCAATATGGCCGCCATTGGAAAAATCAAAATTGGCTTCGATATTTTCGAATTTAGTGGGCCTAGACATTTTTTCATGTCACCGTTGAATTAAGCATGCGAACTTCAGTAAGTGTACCAAATTTCAATACTCTAGCAATAATAGTTGAAAAGTTATTGATAACTCAAAAAGTCGATGGTTTTCAGTTTTTTCAGGATATTTCAGGAATCATAGAAGATATCCTTGATATCTTTTGATATTCGAGATGGTCATGAAATGGCGCATTTTTTCGTAATTTAACCTAGTTCGCATCTCTCCGTTTCTGATTTAACAATAGTGTACTATGAAAGTTGCATTACCCTGTATGCATTTAAAGGACCTACATATTTTTTGTAGATTAAAACGTTCCTGAAAAACTGCAAAAACCCAAACTACACCAGGAAATTCAAACAATTCATCGAAAAGGTGGAACAGAACTCCCAGTTCATCGAAAAAGAGCGATCAAAATCCACCTTCAACATCACCGACTTTAAACAAATCGACGGCTTCGAAACCCAAATAAAAATCAAAGGTACTCCACTGTCCACCTTCTTCGAAAACTGGAACAAACTGAGGACGATCAAGAAGAATAAACAGCTCACAAATAATGAGGAAATAGGCGATTACGATATCCCCACAATAAAAAGAAGTAAAAAAGACATGAATAAATCAGGGGGACCTGTGGAATTGTTCCCCAGCGACTCTGATGATGAAGGGGATGAGGAGGAAAACAAAAACAGAAAGAAAAGAGGGAAGAGAGGAGGTAAGAATGTCAAGAAGAGGAGCGCAGATGAAAGTGGGCCAATAGAAGATACGGGCGAAAAAGATATCGTTGAGGACATTGAAATGGCTGATTGGTGATTTTTCATCCTCAAAAATATTAAACCCTTTGGAGAATTCAATAGTTTTATTTATCAAGATTGGTACTCATTATATGGCTAGGTTCACTCAAATGTTGGAGAAGAAAACGCATCAATAAAATGTCTCAAAATAGCTATTTATGTATCAATGGCGTAAAATAGGCTATTATGGACCATAGTACCGTGAAATGGGGATACTTGAAACTGAGGGGTAAACTGGAACAAAATTTTATATTTTCAAATCATCCCCTGCTGAAATCTACAGCTGATTGCATTTTGAAACATCCTATCGTGCATTTTCAGTATGGTTGGTTATAATACTACTCGATTAAAAATAATAAGTGGCGTTAAAATATTATTTCAGGAATGTTGTTTATCATATTGAAACTACAAGCAGCGATATGACAGAAAAAATGGCATTACAAGCTTCAAGTCAAAAGACATGATCGATTCAATATACGGTATTCATTCCATGTAGCTTATGTTTAGTTACCATTTCACTAGCGAAATGCCGCGATATCACTGCTCAACTTTGAACAGTGTTGCCAATATTTTTTTCCCTACGAAAGGCACGAAAAAACGCCGAAAACTTGGAAAAGGCGCGAATGATTCTCCTTTTTGTTATCGCTTGGAGCGCACGAAAAGAAATCCCTATAATGTTCACAGAACATCGTGCGTTCCTAGGGGGAATAGGGACAGGAGGTAGGTATTGGATTTTTTTTCAACCTCTGGAGATTATATGTTGTTGGGAATACTTCCTCAGGCGATGAATTCCAGAGCCTAGCCGTTCTATGGATGAAGGAGTTTTGATAAAGTGCTGTTCGACATCTTTCGAGGTTGACAACGAAAGGATGTGCTGACTGGGCTTGTCTAGTTTGTCTGACTGGTATTGCCAGTGAAGGGATGATAGCAGAGATTTCCGAAGAACATTTCCCGTGGAAGTATCGATAGAAAAGTGAAAGGTCGCCGACCTTTCTACGGTGTTCCAATGATGTCAAAGAGTGAGTGAGTGTGGCGTCACCCACCAGGCGAATGGCTCTTCTCTGGATGGAATCTGAACCCCATATGTGGGAACAGTATTCTAGAACAGACCGTATCTGCGCTTTGTAGATCATGAGAAGCTGTTGAGGTGAAAAGTAGCTTTTCGCACGGAACAAGAATCCGAGTTTTTGTGAAGCAGCTTGGATCTGACATGATAATACCATGAAAGAGTGTTGCTGATGGAAATAACGAGCATAGATATGGTGGGATGTCCTTCTGGTACGTCCCTGGTATGTACCAAGTACGAAGAAAGGATATCCATAGAACGTCTTAAGGATATTCCAGGGACATTCTTTCGACAAAAGGAAAAAATGTGTAGGTCGAGTAAGGATTAAACCCGGGACCTTTAGCTTATCAGACACGCACCTTACTCCATTGGCTAATATGCCCAGTAAACCGTTTTGTGTTTCTGAAACGTTCCTGAAACAAACTTTGTGAAATATGAAACATTTCACCTATATACTCCCAAACATTTATGAAACATTCTAGAGACCATAAATGACCTAGGGTGTGTAATGTTTCATTGGAATGTTTCAACCCAAATCTCCACGAAACATTCAATAAAGAGTATACATAAACATCTCTGAGATATTTCACTATTGCATTTCATGAAACGTTTCACAAATAGTGTATTCGAAACATTTCCTTATTGCACTATTTGCAACATTTCCAACATGACTTTTTTGAAACATTTCCGATACATCTCACTTTTGCTGATAATGGAACATTTCGAATATGAAACCATTTTTAGTTCATACCAAGACTACATTACCACAGAAGTTAATCACTTACTCATAATGAAAGTGAACCCTAATTAACATCATGTTTAATGTAGTCAATTGGTATTAATATAGGTATATGGAGAAAAAAAGCAGGGTGAATAAAATGAAACTGCAGCTTTTGTGGATTTTATAATATGAAAACTCATTAAATTATAATAAAAAACCATTTCATTTCATATTTTCCCTTTCTCTAGCAAACCTGAGACCAGATTGGCGGAAGCAGGCTGCTACATATCTTTCGAACTCCACGTCCGTCACAGCAAACCTTTTTCTGACAGCACCTGGAAAAATTTTGAGATTTATTTGATCCACTCACCCACTCACCTTTTTCATATTCGTAGTTGTCATTATTAACTTTTAACATTAGCACTACCACCATCAGGCAATATCAATGGACGCTAAAAATGGCTTCACCGGAATTAGAACAACAAAAGAAAGAATGGCTTCGTCTTTGTGTTCACCCACTCTCTTCTCGGACTGGACAGTCGGAGCCGGCCGTGCTCGGTTCCTTAGTTCGGACTGTCATATGCCGATGTTGCCAGAGTAACCACCCGTCTTCATTGGTCACACTCAAGCATGTGATTCATTATAGCCAATAAAACGGAATCATAAACCTGGCAACGTCGAATATGATGCATTTCAAACAAATAGTAAACACATGTATTGAAACATTCCAGAGATGTTTCACGTCACGCATAACATTTGAGAAATATTTCACATACGTAAACATGGCGATGTTTCAGATGACACGTCTAGAGATTCACGGAGACATTTCAAGTAGAGAATTTTTGTAACGAATATGAAACGTATGTAGTGACATATTTCTGAAATATTTCACATAGCATGGAGAGCTTCAGAAATTTTTCCTTTATGTTAAAATTGAAATGTTTCAGATGACGCGTCTAGAGATTCACGTGAGACATTTCAAGCAGAGATTTTTTGTAACGAATGTGAAACGTATGTATTGACATATTTCTGAAATATTTCACATAGCATGGAGAGCTTCAGAAATGTTTTCTTCATGTTAACATTGGAATGTTTCAGATGACACATCTAGAGATTCACGTGAGACATTCCAAGCAAAGAGTTTTTGTAACGAATATGAGACGTATGTATTGACATATTTCTGAAATATTTCACATAGCATGGAGAACTCCAGAAATGTTTCCTTTATGTTAACATTGGAATGTTTCAGATGACACGTATTAGGGAACTTTTGAAATGTTTCTGAAACGTTTTGTGTTTGATGGGTGCCTTCTGAAGATTCATGTAATTTACGATTTCTGTTTGCGAAAAATGGTCTTCTTTTCTTAAGAAGTGCTCAGAATACATTCTGAATTTTCATTAACAATTATTTTCCGGAAGAAAAACAAACGTTTTCAAAAAAATTCAACTCAATATTTTGATGAAATTCAATGACTCTGATGTGAATGGATATCTCCAAGGCATTCGATCGAGTCTGGCACCACGGACTCCTCGCCAAGCTTCCATCTTATGGCTTTGCCTCCCCAGCTATGTTCTCTGCTAGCTAGTTTTCTCCCAAACAGGTCTCTCCATGTAGTGGTCGACAGAGTTTCATCTGACTCTCTTATCATAAATGCTGGTGTTCCGCAAGGATCAATTCTAGCACCAACACTATTTCTACTCCATAACAACGATTTGTTGGAGGCAACTTCATGTCTAGTACACAGCTTCGCGGATAATAGTACCCTCCATACCGCCTTCTCTTCCAGGGCTCCAATACCAGCCTGCCAGGCATATCAGAAACGAACGACGGAGAAATGTCAATGCTTCTCGTGGGTCACTCACTTCTGTGGGACACCTTAGAACAGTTAGAGATCTGTCTCTATTTTATAGATATTTTCATGGACGATGCTCTTCAGAAATATCAACAATTGTTCCTCCCTTGGCAGTCCCCGCGAGATTAACCTGTCGAGTTGAGGCTTCGCACCCCTTCGTGGACACTTTGGAGACCTGCAGAACATCTCTTTCCAAAGACTCATTCATCCAACGAACAGCAAGGCTCTGGAACACATTGCCAAGGGAGGTGTTCCCCGAGGCATATAACGTCAAGAAGACCAATTCTTACTTATTTCCCTTGGTTCTCACGATGTTCTCTGAACATTACAGGATATCTCGTGGGAACCAGAATATAAAAAAAAGTCATCTAATGACCTTGGCAATCGCGAATTCTAGCTCTGGTGGAAATTTGTAACTTGAGGTACTGGGGTGAGTGTAAATTTGGGGCAAGTGGAAGCCAGGCTGATTATCATTACATTTTTGTCTGTAAGGTGGCTCTGTCTATCGCATAATGAACCTACCCATATCCCCTGAATGCTCAGTGATATATATATATATCAAACTACCTACCCAAGAATTACGGTTCTACCTTGCCGATATTTCGAATAGTGTCGCATACCGAGCTAGCACGTGTTCGTTGTTTACGTGAGCCTCAAAAATATGTGAATATATTCAAAGTTTTCGAAGTGACTAACTCAAAAACAATACTTCTTTGTATTTTGATAGGCTACACTTACCCATGTTGAATCGTGCATTAAATATTCGTAATCTTCAAATGCAAAGTCAATAAATTTCTTCCAAACATATGGTGCGTTACTACATAATATGGAAGAAGGCGCCCGCCCTGAAATACCCTAAGGATCCCTATAAATAAAAAAAAATGTAGATCAAAGATTTGAGCACTTATCTCGTTGTACATTTCCAGATCCATTAAATAATTATCCTTGAGTAGGCTGAGGTGATTGGAACGAGAATGACCCATTACTATTATTATCTTTCTTAGTTTATAGTGGAGCTATTGAAATTCGCGGTTCCACTTACCCAGATGTACCTCTTATCATTCGAAAAATAGGAAAAATAACCAGTGGATATGCAAGAAAAATCAAGGATTAGCAGCTCATATACATAAATATAATTCAAATTCCATCAATGGAGATATAAGTAAGCAAACAATCAAACAATAATAAATTAGGTTCAGGCTTGAATCATCTTCTGGAGTTCCCCTTTTTGATGTAAAGCTTTAACATCTGATCCTCCACCTATGCACTTTCCATTGACAAAAACTCTAGGAACCTGAAAACAGAATAATTATTATCCAACTAATTCGCGTTCGCCAGTCATTAGATAACGTTCTGATGACATTGAAAAACTACAGGAAAACAT